ATGCTTTTGCGTCCGGTGCAAGCAATTCATGAGGTCTCACTGACGGCCTACTTGTGTCCCCTTTTGATGAGGACGAAGGCTCTCCTCCTGTTGCTGGCATTCCTGACACGGCATCTGGTGCTGCGACAGCCACGCTTTCGGATAGGATTGGAACGTTTTGCTCCACACGATCGGCATAAATCCTGGCTGACTCCGGAACGTGATGTACGACATCACTCACCCGATCTGCTTTGATTAGGTATGGGAGTTGGCCTGGAAACCACACAAATGGCCTGCCATGCTGTTCCACTTGAAGGCCTACCGACAAGGCATGAGGGCAATCCTTCAACATGTAGAACGTGTTTGTTCCTGACAATTCCCCTGAGAGATCCACCACTTCAGCACTAGGCCTGATGCCACCGCCGGTGCAGAATTCGATCGGCTCATTTGCCTCGTGCACATGCTCCCTGAAGGATTGCGGCAAACTCTTGCTTGAGATTAAGTTCCTACCGGCACCTGTGTCCAGCAGAAACTCTTGCTGCACTGGCTGGCTAAGGCACGCAATCATGGTTGCCACGGCTTTCATGCATTGCGACAACACGGGAGTGCAAAATGCGGTCTTCTTGCACTTCTTGGCTGCTTTCTTAGCTTCAGCAACAGTTCCTTTCAAGGCATACGCGGCTGCGAAAACCTTTGCTGCCCCTGCGTTGACGGAGGCTGCACCTGCTGGCGATGACGTCTGAAGCCCTTTCGGCTTGGGTCCCTTATAGAGATTGTTAGAATCATGCAGATAGAAGCACTTATCACCTTTGGTGCAAGCATTATACCCAAAGTACATGCAAGGCTGCTTCTTCTTCTCTTCATCCGTTAGCCTAGGAGTGCCCTTAGGAGTTGTGTCCCCCTTCTTACCCTTGCCACCCTTACTCTCGCCCTTGCCTTTCCCCTTTGCGGGTGCTGCATTCGCTTCTTTAGGCTTCGGATCTTTGGAGTCTTTGGGCTTCTGGCTGGATGAAGGTTGCTCCTTTTGGGCTTCCCCCTTCTTCTCTGCCTTCTTCTTGTCGTTCTTGTCTTTCCCTTCCTTTGTCTTGGCTGGCGCTGCTTGGGACTTAGTTGCGGATTGCGTGTACACCTGATCGATCGACACGACATTTTCATCTAGCTGATGAATCTCGATGATTTCCCCGAGCTTCGCGTAAAGCCAAGGCCAAGTCCTTTTACTGCTGTTTGGACTGGCGTTCCTGAAACGGTCGATCACCAAAGCCATTTTTGGATGTCCTTTCAATTGCTCGAAAAGGGTGCTCCTAATAGCTTGGTCACTCGGTCTCTCGGAAACTTCCAAGGCCTGGTACACGAAGTCGAATCTCTGACGGAAATCTTCGAGTGCCTTAATGTCGGTGCCGCTCATCTTGAGGCCTAAGAGATGGGTTTGAGTCAAGGCAATTCCCCTATCCTTCTCCATCTTAAACCTCTCAAAGATGACCCACAACAACTTCCGCCCCTTTGGCTGCTTGAAGACCCGTTGCTCTTGCTCTTGAATGGATTGGAAAAGCATGGCAAACTTGGTGTTCTTCGACAGCTCAAGCAGCTTTGAACCCAACACTCGATCAAGAATTGGAAACGGAAGGCTCGACTCGAGATCGGCTTTGGGGTTAGTGCTTTCGGCGATCCAGCTATGGATTAAGGATTCGTCACCCTTTGCAAGCCTACACACAAGGTTGAAAACCGAGTTCCTGAACAGGCGAGCGTCTGCCGCCGTTTTGGGCAGCTGAGGCAACTTCATCTCATCATATGCCTTCACACGCATGAGTTTCTTTTCCCTTGAGTAGGCATCGATTGCCGCGTCAATTTGGGCCATTCCCTGATTTCCTTGAGGGGGAATTGAGGGGCCCTGAGGAGGTCTTTGCGAGCCTCCTGGCGAACCTCCTGGTCTCCCGCCGCCTCCACCCTTGTTGGATTCGCTTGATGAGCTATCCGAGTGATCTGGCGACCCAGGATTAGAACCATGCTGTGAACCATTTTGCGATCCACCCCCCGACTGCCCTCCCACAGATCCTATGTTGAAAATCTGAGGGACCTGCCCTGTTCCTGCCTGATGAATTTGCGGCACAGTTTGAGCGGCGGCAGTCTGGGATGCAAATAGCTCAAAGGCTGATGTGAGTTGATCCAAACGCCTTTCTAATGCACTTAATCCCGGATTCGGTGCAACTGGAGAAGAATCCCCAAAAATGTTTCTCACAGCACCTGATAAGTCCCATGATGAAGCATTGTGTGCACTGATTCCGGTGCCCTGAGGCATCACGGGGCTTGCCTGATGTGAACCGTTGCCATGCGCTATCGGTTGGGGGTTTCCGGTGCCCTGCGGCATCACGGACCCGTCCTGCACTGGCTGGCTGGTGCCCGAAGGCATCACAGCAGGATGCCCACTCGCCTGCAGTGGCTGATTATCCGCGCCATTATGGATGCATGCCAATTCCCTTTTTAAGGATTGATTTTCGGCCTCAAGAGAATTCAACCTTTGCTCCATTGCTAGCAATCGGTCTGCCAACTGTTGCGCCCTCTGCGTTGCTTCGGCCTCCCTAAGTTGGTGTTCCCTAATCTGGTCACTTGTGCCATGCTGGGTCCTCGTCAAGGCATCTTGGAGTGCCTGAACCTGTGCGTTGGCTTGTGATTCCAAATAAAGGACTCGCTCCTGGGCTTGTCTCAATTGGTCCCCCGATTCATGCTTGGTCCTTTCAAGTGATTCCTGAAGGGCATGAACTTGATTGAAGGATTGGCTTTCCAATTGATTTACCCTATCCCTAGCCTCGGCCATTAAGCATTGAGCTTGGGCTTCAGTGACAACCAACCTCCTATCATTCTCTCTCAAATGCGCTTCAGCTCTTTCGACCAGTTGTTGATCCAATGATTGAACAACCATGGTCGGCTGGTACACTTGGGTGTGATGAGCTTGAGCGTGCATTTCAACATTTGGTGAGAAATGATGATGCTGATGCAACTGAGCACTTTGCATGTTGATCCTACTACCCATCGGTTGGGATGATGCCGTGGACATGCTAGTGTCTTCATTACTATTACTGGAGTCTGCGACCTGCGGGGGTGAAAACATCTGTACAGATCCCTGAGCAGCTGGAACTATTTCTGACGGCTCCATTGCTTCTTGAAATTGGTCGGACAGGAAAAGCTACTGACGCAATGCCTGCTTGCACCTTGCGGCGCACTCCGGCCAATGGGCCACACAATCCTCAAGAAATCCGACTGGCCTAAACAAATTGTTGGCCGGTGGCTTTCTGCGAAGCTTGATGTGAATGCCCGAGATCTTGTCCTGTACCTGGCGATCGATGATACTGTTGATGACCTCGTCACTGTCGTCAACGATGAATGCCGAGCGGAATCCAACTGACAGCAGATCCTGAAGGACTAGCACCTTCCCACCTTTCTGGGTCCTGGGATTGAAACTGGCCCTCTCAGAAGTTGTAACGATGAAGTCAAAAACTGATGAGATATCCGGAGTGCGATTGAACGCAGCAACCAATGCGTCTCGGCGTTCTTGGCTATGGAGGTAGGATAGGCAGATTGTCACAACGTGGATACCTTCGCGAAAGAAAGCGGCTTTCAGCTGCCTAATCGCTTCGAGGTTGTCGTGGCAAATACCTTCGTAATCCCACTCTGTGCGTCCGCAACGGGCTCTGTCAAGAACCTGGTGATAGTCGATTGCAACCACGCAACTGTCCCGAAAGTCAATGCCGTAGCGCGGCTCGTAGACAAAGGACAATCCTTGATCTTCCCAATTGCTGTTCACACACTTGAATACTCCTGTGGCAAGAGTCAAATCACAAATCACCGCAGCGAAGTGATGCCCGGAAGGCTCAGCGCGCCTCGGCGTACGTGAAGTGCTCTCTGGCCTCGACGCAGCTTTGCTGGTCGCCTGGAGCAATCTGTGCTGCACAGGCTCCGCAGATGACGATGCAGGCTCTTCGGCTCGGAGCGACTCGCGCTGCACAAGCCTAAGAGGAGCAGACCGATCCGCTGCCTTCACAACCCGAAAAGACACCCGATGATTCTGGGGCTCCTCAGTCAGACGCTGTTGCTCGTTCCAAAAGGCCTGTTCGTAGAGCTGTAGCTGTTCCCAGTTGACTTTTGCGCGTGCAAGCCTGTCCCAGGTGCTATCCAGCACAAACGGAGGTTCGTTTGATAAAACCCCCTCGGCCAATCCGTCACGTAGTACACCAAGTTTCTGTGACTTGCCTCTTCGTCCGGCTCGATGCCAACCGAAGAGGTTCCACAGTTCCGGTGCCACTCCCGGATGCTCGACGCCCTCACCCGCCGTAGCTATCGGTCGCAGCTCAAAAGCTACGGCTGATAACCAGAAGACATACGAATCAAGACAAGTCAAGTAAAGAGTATGCCCAAAAGTGCTATGGCGGCACCGGAAGCTTCACTCGCACAACCTGTTTTGCCTTGAGCCAAAATGTACAAGTCATCCAAGGCGAACTGAATGTTTCTTTTCAGTGTCAACCCTGGAAACCTGATTCAAAGGAAAGTTCAAGCAAACATGAATTCCGGGGCAAGGTTGAATTAGACATGCATGCACCACCTACCATCAGGAAAATGTGGATTCCAGCAGGGGGCATTCTTCTGGCCCCGCCGCAAAAAAGACACACTCAATTCGGCCTTACTGGCCGTAGTTACCCCAAGCTCCGTTGCCCAAAGGACCCAAAAGCATAAGAGGCTAGCGACTTGGAATCTTCACCATGGGTCCGGATGTTTTCAGGAAATCAGGGAAAAAAACCTAATGTTTGAGTCAGGGCACGACCATAGGTGTCCTTTTCGGGAAAATAGATGGGTTTCCGGGTAGTTGATTGAACCACCAGGTAAACCAGGAATCCCCCTCTATTTTTCAAGCAAATCAACCAACAAGGACACCTGTGGGCACGACACTTTTACAGCTTCTTGAAGCCCTCGATATGGGTACGTCAGCTCCAGTCGATTCGGGGAACGAAGCGTTCGTTTCAGGCCCAGGCCGAGTTCTTGCATCGCGCCCAGGCGCTGAAGCGAAGATCCTCCTGAAGTCAGCCGTTATTGTTTTGCTTGTTGATTCTGTTGGTTGTTTTTTGTTTTGTTTGTTTAATTATCTTTGAGAAACACAGCAAACATGTATTGTCGTTGTTGTGTTTTGTTGGTTTAACCCTCTTTGAAAAACACAACAAACATGTGTTGGTGTTGGTGTTGTTGGTTGTGTTTGTCTAATTCTCTGTGAACAACAAAACAAACATGTGCTTTTGTTGTCGTTTCAGCTTCCCTGATTGGTGGTTTGGATTGGGACTTTGGTGGTTAAGGAGGGGTTTCCTACTGCTCTACACTCTACACGAAGGGGTTCAATCCACAAACCACCAATCAAGGTTACCTAATTGTTGTCTTTGTGTTGATTGCTTTATTACCTTAAACGCAAACAACATGTATTGCTGTCACGCATGAATTGTAATGAGGGGACCTTTTCTTGTCGCAAACCCATATGGGCATGAATTGTAATTAGGGACGAACTGTCACGGCACAGACTCAAAAAGCACTTGCAACGCGTGCAAAGATCAAAGTGGACACAACAAGGACGTCATGGCAACGCTGGTGGACATTTGAGGTGGTTCCTCAGTAAAATGCATAGCCCTATGGATCTGTCTCTTTTGAGGCTACCGATGTGTTTGTGGGTTTCAAAGGAACACCAAGTGGATTGAGGGGTTCCCGAAGCAAAAACAACACTCACATTGCACAGTTGTTCAAAGGGCTTGCCAATTTCTTCAGTGGTAGTCTTGGCAAGACTTAGACCCCCTCCAACAGTGAAGCCAAACGGGCCAAAAGCTAACAAGGGAAGTCAAGTCTGGCAATGTAGTGGCCCAATCTTCTTGCTAATGCTCAGAATGACCCCTGACCATCCAGCTGTTTCCTTTAAGGGGACCAATTCCTGGGCTCATTCCATGTCTGATTCCCTATCGCACCAATCGCAAGTCCTCCTATTTCTCAGTTGTTCAGTGACCCTGGAAAAAAAGAAAGAGAATTGGAACCCTTTTTTGGGCTTGGACCATTTTAGTGGGGCCACCAAAAAAAAGTTGGAAAAATAATTGGAGCCACTGAACAACTGAGTTTTAGGTCAGCATCACACCTTTGCAGCCGATGAAGAGCTTCCCTGGGGTGAAATGAGCGGTCAACATGGCGGGCAGTTGGCTTCCTCGCTTCCTTTGAAAACGAAGCCCCAGAAACGGTTCTCTATTTGAGACATCCCCATGTTAAAGGAAAGAGAAGCAGGGTGAAAGTAAATTCTTGGATGGGGATTCCCGCTAGATGTGGGCAAGTGCAGCTGACCAAACCAACATGACTTGGAATTGCAACTGCTTTCACGCTTCTGCACTTGATTCCCCAAGAGGGCATGCAAAAGGTGGGGCTCATTTTTGGTTTGTGACTAAAATGTAGAGCTCGTCCCCCATGTCCCGAGGCCCAAACGGGTCATACCGCAACATTGGACCAAGCATCAAACGGGTCTGTCGGGCTTTGGAAGCCTAGATCCGAATGCATCCGCCCGCACCCACCCTGCTGTCCCACCTTTCTCCCTAAATCCCTGGAAAGTCTTCTCAGGGCCTCAAAAGAGCTAAAAGCTTGAAATTTGAAGGCTTAGGCGGACTTCTGAACGCATGATATGGAGGTCAATGATTGGAGCCAACCTGAGAGCCGAACTGAAATCAGCACCCAACTATTCTTTAAGCAAACCGGCCGAAAGCGAACACCTACCCTCCATGGAAATCTCGAACACCGATTGACTTCCAGGTGCCACAGCTTTCACAGCTGAGCAGCCAAGCCTGGCAACTCAAGACTATGGCAAACTGGTTGGTGTCAGGAGGCCAGGTGCCCTTTTTACACCCCCATTTTTGGGAGAGGGAGGGTTCCCCTACTGAAATAGACCACAGACAAAAAGTTGGTACCCTTATTTTAAGCTTTCTACTGGAGGACCTGGGAAAGCGCTCAGGGACCCTAATCCCGGAAAATCCTTGTCCTATTCGCAGTCCCTCAATTTCCCTCCCAAAGTGGCGATCTTTTTTTGGGTTGGGGAGCTCATTTTGTTTTGGGTTGGGCCCCCTCAGCTAGGTGCCCCTTTTACACCCCTTTTTTGGGAGAGGGAGGGTTCCCCTACAAAAATAGACTACAGGAAAAAAATGAACCTCTCTACTGGAGGACCTAGGAAAGTGCTCACGGACCCTAACATCGTTTTGCTTTGGATTCATGTCCCCTCAAAAGCATGAACAAGGTCTCAAACCAGCAATTTTTGGAGGGAACCATTCTCCCCAAGCGATTCACCCATGGGTCCATAAGCTTCGATTCTTGGAGGGAAAGTTCCCCCCTTCTTCATGGGCGGCATTTTTATGGCGGGTATATCCCCCCCAAGCAATTGACATGGAACCTGACGTTTGGGGGTCGGATTTCAATTGAACATGCTCTTTCAGGGCCCCTCTGTCAGGCCGTGTTAATTGGTGGGGGGGGCGTTTTTGTATGGATTTTGCCGGTTCCGGACCCTAGTTTGAGACCTTATTCGTGCTTTTGAGGGGACATGACTCCAGAGGTTTTTGGGGTCCTCAATGGAAGACCCGACCCCTCCATTAGACACCCCGCTTCGGTGTTTGGGGGTCTCAAAAGGCTGTTTGAGGGCCCTAAATGATCGAATTGGAGCGTCTGGGCATGATGTTCTACTTGGTAACGCTTTTGGACCCGCGCCCCAAACCCCCTCGTTGGTCATTTTCTTCCATTTGCTCAATTCTATGTTTTATTTCCCCTGTTGGTGTTAAAGGGAGTCTGTCACCAATGCTTGTTTTTTCCCCTGCACGGTGGATGCCCTGAATATTGCAAGTAAGGAACAAAGGAAACCCTGTACATTCCCATGGTTTGTGGGTTGACTTACTTGCAATATTTAGGGCATCCACCGTACCTCCAATTGCCCTCCATACGATGTTTATTGGACAAACAAACAAGCGGGGATACGGAGGGAGCGGGTCCCGATATGGGGGGATTCCCTTGGCGCCATTTCCCAAATCAAACTTATTCAAGGTGCATTTAGGGGGAATCCTCCCGTATCTCTATCCCTGCTATAGTTGGTTTCCCTGAGTTTAAAACGCCCAGCCGCCCAGCCGAAGCCCGGCGTCTCGGCGTCTCCTGGCAGCTGGCCAAGGCGCGGACCACGTCCGGGCGCAGAGCCATCAGGAGCTGAGAGCTCACGTAGGAGAGGGCGGAGAAGATGGCCTCGAAAGAAGACGAAACAGAAAAACACACAGTCCATACACAGAAAACAAAGAAAAAGAAAAAAACACAAGCAGAAAACACATCTTCCATATATTTGCATGGCCAGAATGCTGTTTTCCTTTTTTTGGTAAACGCACTCATTCTCCGCAAATATTGGCGGGTCTCTGTTTTAAGGGTTCCCTCCAAAATGCATTTTGTAGTAGAAAAAAAAATCAAAACCCACTAATGGGGGGGTTTCTCAAAATAGGGGACTCCTAAAACGGCTGGTTTCCTGTTGGTTCCCTCTAAAATCCTCCAACAGGAGGTCCTCCATTTTGAGAAACCCCCATGTGTCTTTTTTTTAGGGCTCCCTCTAGAATGGATTTCGGTGTTCCTTTTGGTTTCCCTTTAAGACCAAGAAAGGAAGGTAGCCTCAAATCAGACACAACCATTCCCAAGTTCGGTCAACTGAGTCGTAATCAAAACCGATCGTTGTTGAAATGGTCGATCCCCATGCTTCAAGAGTAAAAACGGCGGCGAAGGCACCCATGTATTGCAAGGAGGCTATGCCTTAACCTTCTTCTACCCGGGTTTTGAGCAATTGGCTCAGCTGAAACTGGGCTGGTTTAGCGGAAACGACCGCCTTCTGGGCAAAAAAAACAACTAACAGCCTAAGGGGATGGTCCACAGCAAGGAGAGGAGCAAAAGACTCGCAAACTTATGACATTTTACATGGGCTCGTCTTTTTTGGGGGTTTGAAGGGAAACCAAAAGGAAAAAGACAACACCATTCTTGGGGGCCCCCCAAAAAAACACAAACCACGTCTGGGAAATTGAAAGTTGGATCGGTCGTGGAGAATGAAGGCAAACCTTGAAAAGGGGGTGTGTCCTAAACGGGGGGCGTTCTAAAGGTGTGTCAACGGTCTCTTTGTGGTTCCCTCAAAGCACAATCCAAGGAGGTATCGCTTTCGCAAAGGGGAACCGACCATCCCCATATGAATAGACAAAACTAGTTGATTCCCTAGAAGGACACGGAAAAAAGTTGGCCCTGGCCGCCAAATCTGGTCAGTGATTTGGAGCTGGCTAGGCTCGACCCCATGTTCTTTGCCTTTAAAAGAGTACTCTCCCTCAGACGAACACCGGGTCTTTCAAAGGAAATTCTTTTGGAGCTTACATAGCATCGCCTGGGGGAGGATACCGAGTTGACACACTTGGTGGGCCGAAACAGCTACAATGTATTGGGGTTGATCAATATTCCCTTCGGCCCAAGATGGCCATAGGTAACTTTTCCCATGTTGTCGCACCGTTTGATCAACATAGCATCCACAGGGATTTGCAGAAACCCCACCCAAAAGAGCAATTGAACCACATATCCTCCACACCAAGCCTACAAAAGGGTCTCCTAGACTGAGACCCCCTGCAAGGGTTACCTTCTGCAGCTTGAAAGGGACTGAGGAAACCCAAACGTGCAAAGAGGTGCGATAGGTCTGGCAAAGGAAAAGCACGCACCCAAATTCTTGGTTGCTGTTGACCCCCCTGCAAAAAGTTTCACTTTTTTGGGGTCTAGTGGAAAACCCACCTTGATTTCAACCAAAAAGTTGAAGTCTAAAGATCCAATCCAATAGCAGTGAAGAATCGTAACGCCGAGTTGCGAGGCGGTAGCTTTCCGCCACCAGTGCCAACACCGCGCCGATTGCCAGGCCTCGCGCGAAACATCCTAGGATACACTCAACTCAACTCAACTCAACTCAACTCAACTCCCTCGCTCAGCTCAGCTCAGCTGAGCTCAGCTCAGCTTAACTCAACTCACTCAACTCAACTCAACTCAACTAGACTCAACTCAACTCACTCACTCACTTCCTCCCTCCCTCCCTCCCTCTCATCTCAGGCTCAGCTCAACTCAACTCAACTCAACTCAACTCAAACAAACTCAACTCAACTCAACTCACTCAACTCACTCAACTCAACTCAACTTGGAACAACTAGACTCAACTCAACTCTACTCAACTCAACTCAACTCAACTCAACTCACTCACTCACTCACTCCCTCCCTCCCTCCCTCTCAACTCAACTCAACTCAACTCAACTCAACTCAACTCAATAACTCAACTCAACTCAACTCAACTCACTCACTCACTCACTCCCTCCCTCTCAGCTCAGCTCAGCTCAGCTCAGCTCAGCTCAGCTCAACTCAACTCAACTCAACTCAACTCAACTCAAACAAACTCAACTCAACTCAACTCAACTCAACTCAACTCAACTCAACTCAACTCAACTCAACTCACTCACTCAGCTCAGCTCAGCTCAGCTCAAACTCAACTCAACTCAACTCAACTCAACTCAACTCAACTCAACTCAACTCACTCACTCAGCTCAGCTCAGCTCAGCTCAACTCAACTCAAACAAACTCAACTCAACTCAACTCAACTCAACCTCACTCGCTCACTCACTCACTCCCTCCCTCTCAACTCAACTCAACTCAACTCAACAACTCAACTCAACTCAACTCAACTCAACTCCACTCCACTCAACTCAACTCAACTCAACTCACTCACTCACTCCCTCCCTCTCAGCTCAACTCAACTCAACTCAACTCAACTCAACTCAAACAAACTCAACTCAACTCAACTCACTCACTCAGGTCAGCTCAGCTCAGCTCAGCTCAACTCAAACAAACTCAACTCAACTCAACTCAACTCAACTCAACTACACTCAAGTTCGCGAGGGGCCTCTGTGGGCGCAGCTGGTTTTATTGGGGGGGGGGGGGGGGGATACTCAAGAACCATAAGAAAGGAATGCATCCAGGCAAGCCACATTTGCCGAGGGAATACCCGGGTTCTCGTTAAAAGAAGGTCTGGAGCCACTTGAAGGGAATGCATTGGTGGTGTGGTGGAAAAGGCATTGGAATGGATCCACCCATGGTGGGATTTTCTCCAACTAAGGGAACCCGTTGTCTAATTTGTTGCTCGGAAACAGGAGGAGCAGAGTCTCCCAAAGGGAAACCCGAAGCCTATTGTGTGCCTTCCTTCATTTGGATAGATGCCGTTTGCAGCAAATTGCAAAGCTTGTCAAGTTCAATCTGTTGGCTGCGACAGATCTATGGTGGACGAGCGTCCTTTGCCCTCAATGTGGATGAAAGGACTTGCTGCAGCCGCCAGTCACAATTCCGACTCAAATGCATCCGGCCCACCTCATGGTAAAGAACAAATAGCGGGAGCTTAAACAGTTCATGCTGTGTCTGGCGCAAACAACCAAACGAAGCGCGATTCTTCTCAGTTGCCCAAAGGACCCAGAAATAAAAGGTTAACCTTTTGGGGCCATGACTAAAAATGGACCAAAATCGGAAAACCCAAAGGTTAACAGGTCGGCTTTGGGCAACTGAGTTTTGGTGCTTGAAGCGTCGCAAACCTGATTCTGTTGAGCCCGCGTTACCCTGCCTCCGCGCGCAGAGCCTCTCACGCAGAGTTCGCACGTGTGGATGCAGTCTAACCCAGACCCTAGTACGGCTTCATGAGAAGAACGCCACGCCTAGCCCAATGCATGGCTCTTTTACCATACCTCACTTTTGAGAGGATCTTCCATGCTATCGGCTTTACAAACCTCACAAAAGAAGCGACATAGTTGCTCCCTCCCTGGCAATTGGCCTTGGGTGTGGGTCAAAAACAGGCATTCCCAAAATGGCTTGCCCTGGCAAGAAGGAAGCAAGGACTATCAAACCTGCGGTCCAACTCCTGCTTGAATGTTTGAAACCCATCAAGTGGAAACCCACCTTTCTGTTGTGTATATATATATAGAAAAAGAAAAAGAAAAGAAAAACCGACCTGCGGAGCCCTTGACCTGGGCCGCAGGGCTCCCAAGGCTTGCGGGCATCGAAGCTGACACAGCTCTTGGCCAGCTCCCCAAAGCTTGCCATCAGCTTGGAAGATGGCGAGCTGAATCTGAATGGTTGGAACCCCACCCGACAAGTGGACAGACAAATCCCCGCCGATTTTGATGTCCACCATTTCGGGTTCCTACTAAAAATTCAGACCCAGATCGGTCGCATACCCAACATCTTTCTGGTGACTTAGCAAAACCAGTCGGAAAATCCGAGCCATCTGGCGCCATCCCTTACGTTTTGAGCCGCGGCCCGGGTGTGGGTCATGGCACGCGCTTTGACCCATCGACTTCTCCCCGGCCTTTCAGGCATCCCGGCTCTCCAGCCTGACGGAAAAGGAGCCGGCGACTTCTTATGGGGCGAAGTGACACGTCGAAAGCCCACGAAGAGAAAGAGAAATTTGAACGACCAACGCGCAACAAAAACACAAACCCGGGGAAGCTTTGGGAACTTCGAAGTGGGGAACCGCGCCGCGGTTCCGGGGAAATGATTCAAAAGCCAAAAGCGAGGCAACGCCAATGGAAAACAAAGGGAGGTTAGGGGACACCACAAACAGAAATCAAAGTGAAACCACGGACTGATGTCAAAAAAAGCACACCAATTAACCGGCCACTTGGGCCCCTCCCATTTGCTTCGTGGATTTAGCAACAGGTGCCATCGCCGTTGGCTGCGCGGAGCGCTGTACCTCTGCGTGACGAGGCTCTGCTGCAGTGAGCGTGTGAGTGTGTGTGTGTGTGTGTGTGTGTGTGTGTGTCTGTGCGTATTCCGTGTGTGTGGGGAACTTGTGATGCATATAACATATATGTCTATAGTATATGTGTCTCTCTGTGCCGGTGTGCGTGTCTGTGTGGGCGCGTGCGCGCGTGGCGCGGGAATGGGCGTGTGCGCGCTCGCGTGCTCTTCTTCCTGCGCGTGCGCGTGCGCGTGCGCGTGCGCGTGGTGCGTGGTGCGTGGTGCGTGGTGCGTGGTGCGTGGTGCGTGGTGCGTGGTGCGTGGTGCGTGGAGCGTGGTGCGTGGTGCGTGGTGCGTGGTGCGTGGTGCGTGGTGCGTGGTGCGTGGTGCGTGGTACGTGGTACGTGGTGCGTGGTGCGTGGTGCGTGGTGCGTGGTGCGTGGTGCGTGGTGCGTGGTGCGTGGTGCGCGGTGCGCGGTGCGCGGTGCGCGGTGCGCGGTGCGTGGTGCGCGTGGTCCGCGTGGCTGTGGCTGTGGCTGTGGCTGTGGCTGTGGCTGTGAATGTGGGTGTGGGTGTGGGTGTGGGTGTGGGTGTGGGTGTGGGTGTGTGTGTGTGTGTGTGTGTGTGTGTGTGTGTGTGTGTGTGTGTGTGTGTGTGTGTGGGTGTGCGTGTGCGTGTGCGTGTGCGTGTGCGTGTGGGTGTGGGTGTGCGTGTGTGTGTGTGTCACAGACACACAGACACACAGACACACAGACACACACACACACAGACACACACACACACACACAGACACACAGAAACACACACACAGAAACACACACACACACACACAGACGCCCGCACGCCCGCACGCCCTACGTGTCAGTGTCCGTCTCAATGGCTTAGAATTTGTTTTGGGGAGCGCGTTTCCGGCTGCGTTTGAAGAAATCGCCCTTGGCGGTCAATCCGGTTGTGTCTCCAACGGGGCAACCCCTCCCCCCTCTTGATATTCTCCTCTCGGTTGTCTTTGAAAGCAACCCCGAACTGGGCAACTACCCGCAAACTAACTCTGGTCCTCAGGGAACGAGGAACGACTCCCTACCATCCTCTGTATCCTCTGTGGCCTGCTAGTACTTGTGGGTATATGTCATAACCCGCTTGTAAGAACCCCCCCAGCTGGGGTTAACCTTGCTCTTTGGGGGTGCCAAACACCAAGTCGGTAACCGCTTGACTTGGCAAATCGAACATCCAAGTATGAAGCAAGAAACGGCCCCTTCGGCCGATTCCAGGAAGTCGATTCCTCGCGAAGTCGCGCGTCGCAAGTCTTGCCTTTGCGTCCCCATCTACGAAGAGCACCATGCCTGCGGCCGAGGATTTGGGACAATTCGGGGTCCCTGCGCCTTGTGGGAACTTGCCCCCCCTTCTCCTACATTGTCCTCCCCAAAGCAATGAAGTCTACCCTTCATTTTGGTCACTTCACATGACCCTTCTTCAAAATAGGCAAAGGCAAACCACCAAGCACAGGAACCAAAAGGGGCAAGCAAGTTGACTACTTTCAGCCAATATTCGACAGTTGCTCTCAAACCTTCGCGAGCATCGGGCAGGCGATGGCGCGAAGCCGAGGTTATGGAACCATTCGAGCCAAACAATCGAGGAAAGCCCCGTGCCTGTTTACGGTCAGACTAGACTTGGGACCCCCGACATAGGGCAGAAGTTAGCAAAAGGTCAAAAAGTGAGTTAGGTCTAGCAATGCGTTGACATAACTACCTCTGCACTACCATGTCGGGCCGAATCATCGTCTTGGCTGCCACTGCATTTGGCCGGCTACCAATTATGTTAGAGACCTTCCGTTGCACTTGCTTTTTCTCAAAACCCATCCACAAAGGGGGCACTCCAGTAGACCTTTGGTGGGTCCGAACAAATCATGGCTGAAAATAGATCCAATGACTGTTGAGGCAGTCCCCAATTCTTAGTTGCCCAGTCACCCTGATAGGAAACATGGGCCCTTTTTGGAGTTGACCATTTCCAGACGGGAACCTCCTATGTGAACCATCGCTACCACCCCCAATCAAAGGAACTTGATCATTTTTTTTGACCATGGCACATGTTGGTGTTTCTCAAAATGGGGGCCCTAAAATGCGGGGAGTCCCTTTTTGACTTCCCTTCAACTGCCACACTTACCCCTTAAAACAGTCCTGGGGAAGTTCTCATCTTTTACAGACATATAGCCCATGCTACCCCAAAAAAGTTGAGAAAAGTTGTGTTTTTTAAGAGTTAAGCACATAAATGGGGGCCCGCCATTCTGATCATGGCACTTGCCGATCGCATCCGCACTTCCCACTGGACTCGGTGCGAAACAATTCACAATGAGCAGGTCCAGGCGGGGAACCCTGAAAGGGAACCCTCAAATGCGACTTGTTTGTTTTGCTATAGTTCAAAAAAACAAACAAAAGGAGACAACAAGTTTGATCAAATCATTGGGTTCCCATGGCTTCCTGCTGCTTTGAAATTAAGCAATGCACTCCGAACATCCCTGAACTGCGCAGAGGTGTCACGACCAACCCCGTCCGAGCATTTTCCCACCCCGTTGCCACGGCCAACTTGCCCCACTTCCCCGTGAGGCATTACGATCTGCGGGAGGTGTCTTGAAAAACGTTCAGTCCAAACACCGATGCTTCCCACAAAAGGGAAATTCCCAAGACGGATGGCCTCCTCCAGAGCATTGGTGATTCTCGCACAAGTTCAAATAGTTCAAATTGATGACTTCTGCTTGATTTCACTTCAAAGCCTCTCCACCAAGGGGACCCCAATACTTGGAACTAATTGCAACTGGAAAGCCTTTGGATCGCTTTGATGGAAATAACATACATGCGTAGTCATGCCAACCAACCCACTTTTGCGGTCATTCCCATTTGCAGCCACACGGAAATTACAAGCATACCGGTCTCAGCATTGCTTCATCGCTGCTGGAAATCACTGACCAGATTTAGAGCATCTTGCAACGGGGAAATCCTGCTGGCATGCACAATTGAACGGGAGTGTCCAGAAATCAGATCCCTCAAGAAGGTGCGGTTCCTTTCAGTTTCCCTTCACAAGAAACAGCTGCCTGCTGGATCCTTGTTCCCATTCATTCTAGCAGGTCACCAGAACATGAACCAGCTGTTTATCAACGGGATCCCCGACGTTTCGGACACCGACCATTGTTGGCCCTGTGGGCCCGTTATTCAACTGTGGGGGTGGACATCATTTACTTCCATTTGCTTAAGCCACCCGGAAAAGAACAAAAAGAGAGACTATGCGCAGTAGTAAGATCCACTCCCTTTAAAACCAAGAAGGGGGAAAAACAGATTTCGGCAAATGGAAGTTTATGTGAGTCAAGTCCGCCAACCCGGTTTGGGCTCTGATTTCTAGAGTTCATAGCGTCACTTGCTGCTCCCACACCTCTCACAGACCAGTCACTAGCTGGGCGAAATCGCTCTATGCACTTCGAGCGGCTCGGCCCTGAGTTCCAGCCGTAGCCTCCCCTATTCTGAACAAGACTCGTTTTCAGAAAACATGGGGGATCAACCTTTAGATTCCTTGGAACGGGGATCCAGCCAGTCCATGTCTGGGCTGCTCTTTCCGAGCAAAACGTCAAACCGCTGATAGGTTTCATGGAAGGGGTCAGTTGCTTCTGCTTCACATCGCATATCTTCAGTGCACTTACATAACTCACAAACCCAAAGGCTTAGGCCTAGCTCTGGCTCCGAACAACCAGAAGCTAGACTTGACTAAACCAATGGTCCGGCTCATTTCTTTGATTGACGCTCGCTCAGGCCGGGTCTCCGGAAAAATGGGTCTAAGAGACCCATCCAACTCCAAAACTCCAGCTCCCAAGCGGTGCCCGTGGAGTTTGGGACAACAGTAGCCCTTACAGGTTCGCCTTCCTCTTGAGGTATGAGTAATTTGTTGATGGAAGTGAGTGCTTGATGTAAGAGATCAGCACATATCCGTGATTCGTTGCTCCCTTGCGAAAGCTGTTGCTAAAAGGTTCTCAACTTTTCACGGATGACAGCAAACCTCCTCGCTCAAGTCTGCATGTCTGATGGTGGGGCTAACCCGTCCCGGAGTGCCACATTTTATTGTTGCCTTGGCCTAGCTGGGCTGTCCGTTTTCAGATCCCCTGCAACACATCGAACACTTTGAGTGGGTTAAAATCGGAAACCCCAACCGCTAGACCGACAAAAAAAAACATCCAAACACTTTTCTGTCACAGCCCGGAGCACAAAACCCATGCCCCAGGGAAAAAAGAACACCCTTGTACCTGAAGGGGCGGTTCGTATATGTGTTTTGGATTTCCGGATGACCTTTTCTGTTCGCATATTTTGTTTGGTTCAACGATTTGTTCCCCTCCCCCCGAAAAGGGAGTGACGGACTTTGCTGCAAAGCCTTGGAGTCCTATGCGAAGCAAGGGCTGTGCCACTCAAAGTGCTTTCCCAAGGAGTGAAAGGTCATGAACTCAGGAATTTGAGTTGCCTGTGACGGGCAGCTTGACTAGGTCCTCCAGTCGAGAGGTTAGAACAAGGGACGCCCCCCTTTTTTCTGTAGTCTATTTTAGTAGGGGAACCCTCCCCCCAAAAAAGGGTGAGAGAGGCCACTACCGGGGGACCTAGTTGAAACGAATTTGCAAAACCACTGGCAGCTGATGGAAATCAGCCTCAGGCATCAGGCGGCCTGAGCCCACGCGCGAAAACTATCCAGATGACTGCCGCTGGGACAAGGTTTCACCTTACCAAGACACCCCAAAAACTTGTTTGAGCCGCCTTACCTATGCGGTCAAAGCACAACATATTGAATCACCTATAGAAAATGAACCCTCCGAAGTGCCGAATCCAAAGTTGCAACCTTGGTCTCTGGCCTGACCTGGAGTCCAAGCCTTCACCTGAAGAAAACCTCAAAGCCACCTAAACCAAGACTCTACACCAGAAACCCGACCGAACCATCCTTCGAAACCCACCAAACCCAACCCAAAATGTTGACATGTGCTTCAACTCCCAAACTAAATCAACCCACCAAACCCAACCCAAAATGTTGACATGTGCTTCAACTCCCAAACCCAACCCACCAAACCCAACCCAACCCAAACTAAATCAACTGCTAGCAAACTTGAACGAGTCCCAACCCAATACTACCAACCACCACCCCGTCCCCAACCACAGCGGGGCGGCTGCAGACCTGGACCATAAAACCTGTTCATGTATATAGTCCCTGTTCATGTGTGTATAAATATCATATATATATATATATATGTACACACTGGTATGATGTTGTATGCATAGAAATGTTTTTTGTCAGTGACATGTACTGAGCTGACATGCACCCATCGATGGGCGGAAAAGTCGGGGTTAATATATGTGTTTGGGCCCAAGTCTGGGATACACCAACCGTACTTTCAGACTCTGATTCAAGGTGTGTCTCCCCCTAAATTATTTTATAAGCTTGCAGGAGACCAGCAGAACTCCGGGGAGGGGGGTCGCGGAGCTGTGTCTTGACTGACTCAGGTTACTAGGGCCTCCAGTAGAGAGGTTAGAATAAGGGTACCCTTTCTTTCTGAAGTCCAATTTAGTAGGGGAACCCTCCCCCCAAAAATGGTAAACGGGTACTGGGGGACCTAGGTCAACTCCTGATGCATAAACCAGTCCTCGCTTCCAGTGAGGAATCAGTAAACCTGAGGGTCGAAACTGTGAGTGGGTTTAGTGGAAACTACCTGAAAAGACCTAAAACCTAAGGAGCCGCTCGGCTGGTAACCAAGCCAATGAGCAACAGACTTGAGATCACTAACTCAGTTGTTCAGCGACCCTGGAAAAAGAGGGAACCCTTTTTGGGGCTTGGACCATGTTTAGTGGGGCAGCCACCAAAAAAAGGACAAATAATTGGTGCCACTGAACAACTGAGCTAATGTTTCACTACCCGGGCTTGTTTTGGTGAGGGTTCCCCTTCTTTAGCGTTTTTTTTGCTTTCTCGCAACCTGCCCTCAGACATCCCGCTAAAAGTGACTCACTTTTAGTGGCTTACATTCGGAAACTACCACTAAACACGAAAAAGCTCAAAGGCTAAGGAACCGGATGGCTGGGAGCCACCACCAAGAAACATTTCCATTCGCTTAAGCCCCCCGGAAAAATAACATATTTCCAGTAGTGATCGATTCCTTTTAAAACCAACAGGGGAAAACACAACATATTCTCAAACAAATGGAACTCACTTGCGTGGATGGCCCCAAAAAAGTAACCAAACTTTATATTTACCGAAGCTAAATGGTCCAACCCCGAAAAGTGTTTAAAGTTCATGAACTCAGGAAGTGAGTTTAAAAACAACAGGGGAAAACACAACATATTCTCAAACAAATGGAACTCACTTGCGTGGATGGCCCCAAAAAAGTAACCAAACTTTATATTTACCGAAGCTAAAATGGTCCAACCCCGAAAAGTGTTTAAAGTTCATGAACTCAGGAAGTGAGTTTAAAAACAACAGGGGAAAACACCACATATTCTCAAACAAATGGAACTCACTTGCGTGGATGGCCCCAAAAAAGTAACCAAACTTTATATTTACCGAAGCTAAAATGGTCCAACCCCGAAAAGTGTTTAAAGTTCATGAACTCAGGAAGTGAGTTTAAAAACAACAGGGGAAAACACCACATATTCTCAAACAAATGGAACTCACTTGCGTGGATGGCCCCAAAAAAGTAACCAAACTTTATATTTACCGAAGCTAAAATGGTCCAACCCCGAAAAGTGTTTAAAGTTCATGAACTCAGGAAGTGAGTTTAAAAACAACAGGGGAAAACACCACATATTCTCAAACAAATGGAACTCACTTGCGTGGATGGCCCCAAAAAAGTAACCAAACTTTATATTTACCGAAGCTAAAATGGTCCAACCCCGAAAAGTGTTTAAAGTTCATGAACTCAGGAAGTGAGTTTAAAACCATTTAAAACCAACAGGGGAAAACACAACATATTCTCAAACAAATGGAACTCACTTGCGTGGATGGCCCCCAAAAAGTATCCAAACTTTATATTGACCGAAGATAAAATGGTCCAAACCCGAAAAGTTTTTAAAATTCATGAACCCAGGAACTGAGAAATGGAAGGCAATCCAGCGGGTTTTAACGGGGAAAACGACGACCCCCGGGCCTTCAAAAGGCCGCGGAGGCCCAGGCGCTTGAGGCGATCCGTGCCCAGCAGCCTTGAAGCGCAGCCAGGGTGGGGTTTGAGGGGTAGCTGAAAAACAAGAATCGCCTCTTTGAGGGTTTCCGCGGGTTGACCTTCTTACCCCTAAAGGGATCGCAAACATGATGTCAAAACCCAGGAAACCCCCGGTGAACATCGAAAAAGGTGGCACATGGGTGTTCATCCGCCCCAGAAGGTTATTACCCATGGTCATATGGTTTGGGGTTTTGGGGGGTAGTGGTTTATGGGCTTTGTGGCAGTTTTGAGGGGTGGCGGTTTTGACGGGAAGCTGGGTGTGGCTCAAAATTAAACAGGAGGGGCAAACCGCAGGTGTTGGTCCACGGTTCTGCTTACTAGGGGTCCATTTTGGTACCGGTGTTTGGAGCCACAGACATATATGGTTTAGGGTTTTGGGGGGTGGGGGTTGGCGGGTTTGAGGGGTACCTTGAGGGTTTCCGCGGGTTGACCTTCTTACCCCAAAGATTGTTTTCAAAATGGAGGGACCCATTTAGAGTGACATGTTGCACTTGTAGACCCCTTTGTTTCCAACAAAACATGCGGTGAGAAAAATGAAATCTGGCTCAGCGCCAAGTCTCCCGCAACAGTGACCAAGGATTCACAAGTCAAGGCTTAGCGGAAAACCACCATCATGGCATTCGACGTATATGACCAACATGTGATATACTCCAAAAAACAGCATGTTCTGATCCTGCTATAATACACAATATATATATATACTATACATATTATGTATATATATATATATATTTGTCTGCCCGAATACGCATGCATATGATATATATATATACATATATATATATATATAATATGTATATGTATAAGTATATATTATGTATATGTATAAGACAAGAAGTATTGCAGCAGACCCCAGATATGCCAGGTGGGTCACTGAGGTATCCTAAGAATAAGCGTCAAGATCCTCTATGAGGCGGCTGATCAGACTGAGCGTGGCATCATGTGAGCCATGGTCCAAACAACTACATTTTTTCCCTAACGACATCGTATAGGGGTTTGGGGAATGGCCACTTCGGTGGTACAACAGAAAGGGCTTCCCAAAGACTAGTTTATTGATAGAACGGGGGATTCCGATTGCCTTGTATCACAGAGGTGGGAATAAATCGGGATAAACCCCCTTGATCCCACAACCCTGAATTAAAAAAACACACAAAACAAACTGCTAAAGGGCATGGTGCCTGCTTCCGGGAAAATTGGAGCGCGTCCTTCTCGTCCCGAACCCTGGACGGGGGTCATCGAATCATATTGACCGAACCTAGTGTCGGAACCTAAGGGGTCTATGACCATGTCAAGCCCAAGGCAAAACCGTCAAAGACCATGACAAATCAAATGCTTGAGCTTGCTTTGAAGAGAATTCAACGCCTCGCAGTATTAATATGGAGCACAGTTCTGCGCCTTTTCCAGACTGCTCACACATGTGAGCAACGTCAAATCGTTGGTTGAACGAAATTGGCCCATGAGAAGGGCTTTGGGCGCTGCTCATATGACCATTCTAGGTACCTTCCCCATTCTTTGCAGGGCTCCTTCTTTCTAGAATCCCCCCACAAACCCGCGGAAAACGGCCGGTTTTGGAAAGAACAATGGTTGAAAACTTGAGGAGCGGGTGAACGAAAGCTAGCAGTTGTTGCATGAGATGGGTCGGTGACAGAGTGGATTCATAGGTAGCTTGTGTACAACGAGAGGCCCGGCAAGATTCGTAGGATGCGACACGCAAACGCACATGGTGGCGTGGCAAACCTTGAAAAATGAAAACAACGAGAGGCGTCAGAAGCTGTCTTGAAGCACCTCTGGGTTCTGCATGCTGCGTGTGCCAACATTCTTGCGCGGTGGTTTACTGAGAAGACTAAGGTCTCAAATGAACAACCTGAATCGGTGGAACATGTAAAAGTTCGTAGCACCAAGTCCAAAACGGGCAAACCGAGACTGCTGAAACACTGAGCCACTGCCCGGGGGGAGGGGTGGATCAAGGAGGAATCGAGCCTGAGACACGGGGGGGGGGAGGGGGGGGGGAGGGGAGGGGGGGGGGGTCTAAATAATTGATTTTTTTCAATCTTTTCGGCTCAAATAATTGAAAAAATCAATCTTTCGGCAGTTGAGCCCCTTACCTTGCTTACGCAAGGAGAAACTTCAGCTAGCTAAAGCTAGCTTTCGTGATAATGGAAAAGGAACCAACCCCTAGAACCATAGCCTCGCCAAACTTCGCCCCATCCGGGCCCCCTGCTTCAGTGAGCCAGCAAAGAGTGGCGCCGTCTGGGCGAGGCATGGAGCTGCAGCTTCCAAGCAGCTAGCTACGGGGCTGTGTCACTTTCTAGCCGACTCCTCAAAATGGTGTTCCTCTTGGCTTCCCTTTGAACCCCCCCCACCCCCAAAAAAACACGGTACCTCGAAAAAAGACACCCCCGCAGGAACTTATGCAGGAGATCCTTGATTTTGGTGGGTGTTTGGCCAATTCCGTGTTGACATTCCTGTGGCTGGTTTCATTAAATGCACACTTAGCAAGTAGGGTGTAACCTGGGTCGAAGTCGGGGCAACTCGGACTAGCCCCCTTAGCGAGCATGGGTATGACCATACTTACTAGGCGGATCAAGTCACACATACAAAAACATGATTGGAGATACCTAAAATTTGCATTGAAACGTGCACATGTGAGTATGTAGGTACGTACGTATGTATGTATGTATGTATGCATGTATGTATGCATGTACATAGTACGTACGTACGTACGGTATGTATGTATGTATGTATGTATGTATGTATGTATGTATGTATGTATGTATGTATGTATGTATGTATGTATGTGTGTGTTTGTACGCAGGCAGGTACGTAGGTAGGTGGGTAGGTAGGTAGGTAGGTAGGTATGCATGCTTGCATGTATCTATGTATTTTTGTATCTATGTACGTGCACACGTACGTACGTACGTATGTGTATATTATATATATATATATAGAAACACATGTATGTATGTATGCATGTATGCCGATTCCATGATGGTGGAAAAATGGTCTTGCTGGGTGTCCCTTCGGCACCAATAACGTTGCTTCTGGAAACACCGGGCATGAAAGGAGCAACTCGGAGCTTGAAGTTGTGCGACGCTTTGACTGGCAATCTGCCTTGCAAACCTTGCGTTCAGACATAAACTTATATATATACACACATAGCAGCACCCTCCGACTACTGCCCAGTGGCCGGTAGATCGAATCTTCCAAAAACAAAAACGTAGTTAGAAGAACTACTGTCTTTCTTTTTACTTGCGGGATGTCCATGGTCACAACTCGCACGTGACAGCGCGTCAGCGACATGCAGTAGCAGCAAGTTCTACGTAATGACACGCATGAACTTGCTTGTCACTGCATATCACCGCGGGTGACTTGCGGGTCACTTGCGTGTCAGTATGTCAGAACAACAGTAGATCACAGCGAACAACTGTAGGTTTACCGTGGCACTGCTTGTCACCTGCGTGTCGGGGCTTGAGAAGGGGCAGGGCTATAAGCTTCGTTCTTACTGTTTGGGAAACAACGGTAGATCGGGGATCTGCTGTCTTTTGTTTTATTTTGCGGAACTACTGCAAATAGACCGTAGTCACGAAAATAAAACGAAAGCAGTAATCGAAAGGTGTTGGTATATATATATATATAAATATGCACATACCTGTGTTGCATTGTTTATCTATTATCATGCGTGTGTATTTGCTATTTCTGCATGTATGCGACTAACAGCAGTGTTCATACATGTAGACACATACATCTATAGACATATATTAAGCAAACACAATGTAGCATTCACGTGCAAAGACGTCCACTTGCTTACACACGACTCAGGCTTGAGGATGGACACTTAAACACGAGTGCCAAGTACAAACACCTACAAATTGAATAAGGATCTTAGATCCTGCACCTTAAAACTTGTTCAAAGTGAACTTGTTTCAGTACATGCGCTAAGGCCTCGCCCTACAAACGAGTCAAGATGTCACGGACCAAGGCTTTGGGGATTGGGGCGGCTGTCACCTATCAACATTTTCGTCTTCTTGCCCAGGCTTATCGAAGCCCCCTGCTATAACCCCCCCCCCCCCCCCCCCCCCCCGCTATAACGGTCCATGAGTATGGTCAAAGCACAGATCGGCAGCCAGCGAGCCGAGCAGTGTGACGCGCACTTGGCGTCTTGGGAACCATGCCGTTAACATCGTTGGTCCAACTGAAATCAAGTGAAGTTATTGTGGTGGCGGTGAAACCCCATAGTCAGTGAGACCACTTTGCGTCTTGGGGGCATACGTAGTTCTCCAAAAACAGTGATTTGTTTGGCAAAGTTCAACAAACAAGTACAGGTTTTTGAAGCCACAGGTAGGGAACCACCTCAAAAATGCTGGGTGGACAGCAATGCCTACCGAATGACTAGGCAAACCTTCCTCGGACTGCCTACGTCATCGCTTTCCCCAATAGAATTGACTACGCGGTCGCGGCATACGGAGTTTTCCCCCCCAAACAAATATTAGCGAACACATAGCAACAAAATCTGCTCAAATGAAAGCCTGGGAATTGGAAACATGGACCAACACCCGCGGTTTCCTGGTGGTTTAAATTTGACTTATACTCACATCTATCTGGGCAAAATTACAGTAGCTCACAAACCGAAAAACCGGAAGACTCCTAGTAAGGGATCCTCAAAGGTTTTCGCTGTGATTTGCCCAAAGATTTAATGGACGGGTAACCACCTCCAGTCTCTTTCAAGAGCATGTTGAGGCATGGGCGCATACTAGCCATACAAGTGTATAAATTATTAACCTCTGTACCTCCCAAACCCATATCAACAAATTCCTGCAAGTCTTGTTGCAAACGCGCGCCTCACCCGGTCGCTTCCGCTTCTTGCCAAGCGTCTCCTCTATGCCGCGAACAGGGCGAACAGGTCGCGCGAACATGCAACCGAGACACGGGCCCCCCACAAGAAGATTCCTCTAGAAAGGATGGCGCTTTGGGGTTTCCTGTTTAGTCCGCAGTGAAGTAGCCCATTGAACTCGCTGAACAAGTTGGGTACAAAGGATCACGAAAGCACCTATTACTAGGTCCTCCAGTAGAGAGGTTAGAATAAGGGTACCCTTTTTTCTGCACTCTATTTTAGTAGGGCAAAAAAGGGTAAAAGGGCACTACTGGGAAACCTAGATTACCAACACGAAATGGATATTTGAGCCTTCACCGCCGGCAAAAAGTATTGAACTTATGCAACCCAGACAGGTACGACTGAGATGTTGTTCCGCAGCAAAACGTGCGGAAATCAGTTGCGCCCCGTGAAAAAGTGCTCGGTCGCTGCGAATTCTGCTTTTGAACACCTGGCAACATGGGCTCTGCGACGCAAAACCAAGAAGTAAACACTCCGGAAACTAAGAGCTGCTTTTTCCAAGCGCGCTTCCTTGCAAACAGCGGGGCTTGCCTGCATTGATTTCTGACGCCCGTTTGGTTGAAACACCCCTCAGCTGACCGGTGACGCTCCCACTGACATCATTATTTGAGTGTCAAAGTCAGCCCCTAGGTGGTAGGTTAAAGGGACACCGTGCCAACAGAACCAGCTTGTTTTGCTTCACTTCCTGAGTGCATGGTGAAGTCCAAACTCTGGGGTTTACCACCAAAATGGGTGTGAGTCAAAACTACGTCTCTCAAAATGGAACCCTAGTACATGGAGCCAAGGGCCAAAACCTGCGGTCCCCTGGTTGAATTTTGAATACCCAAATGCTCGTCCCAAAGAGTCTCAAGTCCAACTCTGGAGGTGAGCTTCTGACGACAGCGGTACTCAAAAGCGGGGAATCCAACTTGCGGACCGAACCGAACCGCGAAACATGCACCGAGGCCACAGGAAACGGGTCCTATGGACGCTGACGCTGAAACGCGCCCGACTCGCAGACCAACGACTTGCGCCCGTGTCAGCCAGCGACTTTGGTCGTGAACTTCATGAGTTCATTGGCCAAAGAAGTGCGAACCTTGTGTTTACCACCAAAATGGTCTTCCCAGAAAGTGAGTCAAGTCCATGAACTCAAGGAGTGAGGAACGGTTCCAAGATGGTCATAAAAGGTTTATTCTGGGCATGAACTCTTTTTTCGGGGTCCCTGTGGTGGAAGGCGAAAGCTCATAGCTAGGTCCTCCAGTAGAGAGGATAGAATAAGGGTACCAACTTTTTTTCTGTAGTCTATTTTAGTAGGGGAACTTTGCCAACCAAAAAAGGGGGTGAGAAAGGGCACCTAGCTGGGGGACCTAGATAGGCCGACAAGATTTGGGCAACATCCATAGCCGGTCCTCATCGCTTTGGCTCAACGCTGTGGACAGCATGTACACAGGCCTCAGTGCCAAGATCCCACACGAATGTGTCCCCTGGAAAAAAAGTCCAGTAGTGATAGATTCCCTTTAAAACCAACAGGGCAAAATAACAAATATTCATAACCAAATGGAAGATTACTGTCAACCTCCTGTACCGATAAACTTTCATATGGGTATGGGTCAAAATTAAACCACCAGAGGACCGCAGGTTTTAGTCCATGCTTCCATTTACCAGGGCAAGCCATTCTGGGGTTAGCCTATTTTTGACAACCACAGCCAAGTGGGGGGGGTGTGCTTCGTTTTGGAGAGCACAGGGAGTTCCAGCAGCTCAAACATGCCAAGCATGTGGGTGCCTTTCAAGTAGCGTCTGGTTGAAACGGGGGGTGATATTAGCCGGAAGTCAAACCCACTAAGCCACTATCTGCTACTAAAGTGGTCCACCCAAATCATGCAAAGCAAAGGGGCTTCTTGAGGCGCCTTGTTCTAAGAAAAGACAAGAGATCAGGGCAATCTGTCTCTAAATTAATGAAATCTGAAAATGGGTCGGGTAGAGATTCATATGTGGTTCCCCGCTAACGTCCAAAAATAACTCTCTTGAAAAAGCACCACACAACATGAACTTCCCCCCTCCTAGGGTAAACAAAAAAAACTGGTCCGAGAAGATCAAAACCCATTCCCAGACCTCCATGGGAGTATCATATAAGACAGCCCTTGTTGGGCTGGTAGTTCGTGGATGTTCAATGAGGTTCCGCCGATCTCCAAAAAGACTGAACAAGAACATGTCCAACTGAATGTGCGGGCAGAAAATTGGGGGCTTCCTCTTCTCGTGGGAAAAGCTGAAAAAAATATCCTGAGCAGGTACATGTCCCTGCATGGAGGAGCTGAAGAAATACAAGTAGGTTACTTCTATAGTCTAATGTCTCATATTTTCGTCTTGTTACTCCGCAATACCATTCCAAGTATTTCGGCCCCATCAAATCCAGAAAGTTGACCGACCACGCCAAGGCACATAGAAGGCTCCACCATGACCTCCAGCTGTCGAAGCCCGACCTGCGGAGCAATGTGACAATAGCCAGGGTGTTGGGTGTGCAGGCGAAACACTTGTTGCTCCTGGGTGCCTAAGGAAGAATCACCTCACACATGAGCATGAATCTGCCAAGACGGTCTACCTGTTGATCATTTCTCCGAAAGTTAAGAAGCCCCCCTTGGAGGTGAAACTTCACGACTGGGCACGTCGACTCCTTTGCCATGCTCAAAAAAGACGTCTTTTCTGGGCCTTCTCAAGGTGGGGGGGGTCGAAGTCGAGAAAAATCTTCGGCCCAACGGAACAGGAGCATTCCCGACATGTTGAGAAACACCGCACATCCATGTGCCCTTTTGGGAAAAAATCGATGGCCTCGGTTGACCACCAGGTCAACAGGGCCATCTATGTTCGACTCAACAACCAACAAAGATGATACGGACCCCCATGCAATGATCCCAGGATGTTCACGTTTTGTTTGATGGCGTCCTCTTTTTTGACCTGGTGATTCCCGCGACTGGTTTTGGTGCCAGGCACATCAAACCTAGGGTTTAGGGTCATGGCCATGACCCTTCACACCTTGACTATCCTTGACTTCTCTTGCCAACCAGCCCGACACTTTGTCCGAAGGACCTGGAAATAAAAAACAAATCGCCTTTGGGGGCCACGACTAGTTAGGCACCAAAGGTCGACTTTGGACAAGTGAGTGAGTAAAGGCTCTATGACACATCCAAGTCCACCTCAGTTGTTCGTACATTCAATGGACCTTCAACAAGTCACGGTCAAAAGGATCCCAAATATATTGTTGTGAAATAACATGAAACCCAAAACAGGGATCTAAAAAAAAAACTCCCTCGAAACATGATGCCCCTCTCACTTGGCCAAAGTCGACCAGTTGACCTGCTGTTTTCCACCTTGTGGTCCCGATCTTCATATCTAGTCGTGGAAAGCTTAGCCTTTTCTTTCCGGTGAGGTAATGGCAGCCTGCCTGCCAAAACCTGAAAGGAGCCTGATCCTCTCACAGGCCCAGACCCATGCTCTGGCCTTGAGGACCTCTGACTGACTGGACTGACCTGGACTGACTGGCCTGGCTGGCAAGTACCTGGAGTCTCCATGACCCTCAAAAGATGGGTCAACGACCCCATTATTTTGGGGTCATGACCCAATTTTTTAAGGGTCGTGGAGACTCCAGGTAAGTCTTTGGGGATCCACCTTCACTTCTCACTTCCTGAGTGGATGGCCCCAAAAAAGTCCAAACTTTATATTTACCACTAAAATGGTCTTCCCAAAAAGTTTAAAGTTCATGAACTCAGGAAGTGAGACTTGCGCGGGGGCGCCGACTTTTTTTCTCCCCCCGGCCGATCCGATTTCCGCCTGCACACGCTGTGGGCGCCTTCCCAACCCGCCCCTGCGCGCCACCTGGCGGCGGCTTGGGATCGGAGGGGGGCTCCCAGCCCGAAGACTCACCGGCCCAAAGAGCCTTCAAACAAAAAATGATTCACCTGTCGGAACCGGAAAAAAAAAAAAAAACAGAGGGGAAGAGCAAGAGGTCAAAAGCTGGTCTTTGGAGAAGTGAGGAAAAAGTATGAGATGTTTGCTGGGGGCCAAACGATATTAATTGCTAGGATAATTGGGGGTCAGATCGGCTCCCCCCGGAAACGAATTTGTACTCATCAACTCATGCCTTGAAAGATGTAAACATGACTCTTTGCGCCATTTCAGCTGAACGCTCGTGACCTTTTTAGTGACTAGTGACAACCTTCCCGGGTCGTCTTTGGAGATCCCCCAAACGGTGGTTCTTCTTTTGTTGCCCCCAAAAAAACACCCCAAAAGGGTACCCTTAAAAGTCAACACCTAGCTATGTTCAGCCTCTTTCAGGGAAGACTTGGTTTTGTCGGGGCACTTTGTGCCCGTTCGTGAACGAAGCGTCGAATCAGAACAAGAAAAAATCCGGTTGGGCGCGGCTTGATGGAATCATGAGAACTTGAAACCGCCTGGCCGCATCCAACAGGGAAACAACCATAACCCTAGTGAAAAACAAAATAAAACTGTTTGGTGGTATCATGGGGTTGATTCGTCCAACACTAGCGCCGACCCCTTGAAGACAATTTTGGTTTCACATATCAAAGAAAGCCTTTTCTGTCCACCTCTGTTGCTAGTCATTGCGGGCTAAACTATCCTTCAGGCATGAATTCTAATTAGGGACCCTTTCGTGGACATCATTTGGGTGGATTCATGTCTACCACTTGGTCGTTCCACCTCTTAAAATTCAGTTCGCCATTTAAACCTCTTTGCTTGCGGGTCGCCTCTTGTGGCTCTACGAAACCCATTTCTGCCACTTTTGGGGGTGCAGCCGCCCATGTCCAAGCTCCATCCGCCTCCAATTCAAAGCGCTTGTAGGTGTGGAGGGCTTTCTGCACCCGCAAAGCTGCGGGGAACTGGCCGTGCGGCCTGGACTTTGAAAAATGTCGAATCGGCGATTTGAAGGGCCCAAAATGGATTTCGATTTCCGCGGTCCTTTGGGCGCAAAAAACATAAAACCAAAGGGGATACCTTCAAAAAAAGACACACCCTTCTGGGTTTGGGGTGGAGGTGAAAAGGGTCCTTGGATTAGCTGAGGGTCTTGGTTTAGGGTTGTTTGCGTTTCATTTGTGTGTTTTGTAGGTTGGGGAACTTTGGGGTTTCCTCGTTCTAGTTGGGAGTCGGCACAACCAATTCGGGCCCTTTTTCGAGGGACCTTTTACGATTCTGAATGGGTCTCTTTGGGGACCACCCCTCCTAGTTGAACCCAGTATATACTGAATCACAACGGGGGCGGAATAAGTTCGGCCTGTGGGGCAATGCATTTCGTCTCGCAATCTGTTGAAAACCACTGGGCTTTAGATAGAAATCCAATGTTAACCTCGATGAACAAACGCCTGGTTGAAAAAACAACAGGGTGTGTGTTCTCCCGGCTCACTCAAGAGGTGACCCCTGGCTATAACATCCGGTCCCATCCCAAAACCACCACTTTGCCAGCCCCGCAGCCTGGAGCTTGGAAGACAGCGGCACACCTGCGAGGGAACTGGGAAGGAAGTGATTGGAACGCTGATTCTTCGGTTCCGGTCCCGGGACTTGAACATGACTTAGCTGCTTGGAATCCTGATGTTCTGATGAAGGTGCTGTTTAAAAACAAAGGGAAAAAATAGGCTTGCTGGCCGCTGGCCGGTCCTGGCAATTGCTGGATCCAGAGACAGCCCCAGGACGCAAACCGCCCCAAACACAGCATTAATGGACGAGCTCCCGTTTTCGTGCTTTTTTCCGTTAATGCTGCACGAGCCTAATCTCTTTTCCTATTACTAAAGGCCTCCCTAATCATAAAAAAATGTTTCCAAAGTCCCAAATCCGGGAATTTAGAATAGCCAATACTAAACCAATTCTACAGTAGTGCGCGGCGAGCACGGAAACACGTTCGTCGCCACCGTGCCCGCGTAGGCGACTCGCGGATCAAATTCTTGCACCGCGCGGCCTTGGCTGCAGACACTTCAGAAGCGAGAGCCGGCGGATACGTAGAAGCGTGGCCTTGAAAACCGGTGGGCCACAACTGGGTCTATGGTAACTGATAGTGGCTTACAAACCATCCAGTGACCCTCTCACTTCCGAATGAGTGGGTTGCCCAAAGAAAGTCTAAACTTTTTGGTTACCACTAGATGGTCTCCCCAAAAAGTATAGAGTCTAGGAACTCAGGGAGTGACCCTGGCTTCAAAGGGAAGTGAAGTGGGCTGACATTTTTTTAGGACAGCCACCAAACACAAAGCCAAGCACCAAAAATATGCAAACTCATGGGGTCCGAAAATTATGAATAAATCCCATTTGTTTGTGCTTCTCTCAACATCAGAGCTGGCAACATCTGCATCTTCAACCCCAAACCTTGGATTTCCATATCGCTTCGACAAAAAAAAAAACACCGGCCAAGGTGGCCTTTCCAGAGCTGAAAGCTTTTTGGATTCTGGACGTAGCCTTTGCCGATGGGCCAAGTCGGTTGCGCCGAGTTTCTGTTTCAACTGGCCAACTTCTTGGTTGACGTTGGGTTTGGGTAGCAAAAAGTTTTTTTTTTTTTTTAACAACAACTTTGGCAGTTCAGTGGTTGGATTTCAACTAAATCGCAAAAAGCAAAGATACGTAAAATGCTTCCCAACAACCATGACTTGTTGATGTTACTCCATCTAAAAATGCAGATCCCGCGGATCCGGGTTTGGACAATTCAAGTTCGCGCGAGTTTGGTCGGCAAAAACCAAAAGCACTGACCGGCACCGAAAGGTCTCGCCGACCATGGCCGTACTTGTGCGTCCCACCCCCCATCATGTTCCCCTGATTCTTCCATTTGGTTAAGACCCCTGGACAAAAAATGAAAAACTATGTCCAGTAGTTATAAATTATTTTCAAAACCAATAAGGGAAAACAAGCAATCTCATTAAGCAAATGGAAGAATTGTGTTGCCTTCGGGGAATACATCGGAAACCGAGCATTCACCTGGCCAAGGGCCGCTTCCATGCCTCGACTCTGCAGCAAACACGGCCTGATTTTCTGGCTACGAGGCATTCTACCCAAGAAAACTAAGCCCTTCATGATTAGAGTTAGGCCCAGTTATAGAATGTATATTTGGCTGTGGCTCAAAAAACCGGTGCCAAAATGGAACCCTGGTGAGTGGAAACATGGACCAAGACCTGCGTAACCCCTCCTGCTTGATTTTGAGCCACACCCATTTTATTGTTTGCTTTACTTGAGTCACTGGTAAAATGTAAAATGTATCCTAAGTCTACCCCAGTTCTGGCGAGTGTGTAAGAGCAAGAACAAAGCGGAACACGGGGACGTGTTTCCTTGTTCCGATTCGGACAGCGTTTCAGCGTCGCGGGCAAGGAGCCATGTCGAGACAAACATTTTTGGAGTCCGTACAAACTTGTGATGGTCAGACGGTCACTGGATGTACTCCTCAGTTCAGTGAGCCTGGAAAAAAAGGGAACCCTTTTTGGGGCTTGGACCATGTTTAGTGGGGCCACACAAAAAAAAAAAACAAGTTGGAAAATGAATTGGTGCCACTGACTTACCCCTTAAAACTCCAAGCCCTGGGGAAGTTAATATTTTACAGACATATAGCCATCATATAGCCCATGTTACCCCCAAAAAGTTGAAAAGTTGTGTTTTGAAGAGGTAAGCTGAACAACTGAGTTTTGGAGGTGGGTTCCTTGGAGGTGAAAGCGAGATGCTTCACCCAAGCCTCTGCCGGCAGCGGAAAGCCCAGCTGGCACAGCCGAGACTCCTCCTGGAAAACATCTGACCCAGTGGCCCAGCCCCTAAAGGAAACTACAAACTACCCGATGTTGTTGTCTTTTGATTATTCCTTATTTTATGGTTTTGTTTCTCTTGTTTAGGGGCGGGGCTCCACTAAAAAAGGCCCACCCTGGTTTGATTGACCCGAAAAAGTGGGAACTGTAAGGAGAAGGAAAGGTGAAACGCTCGGCTTTTTGGGCTTAAAGATATATTGCCAGTGGCTTGTCCTGCTCCAGTTGCACAAAGTTTCTGTTGCACCTATCACCAAATGCAACAGAGCCTGAATCACAAGAAAAAGTATAATCTGGTGCGTCAGCAGTGTCGAGAAGATTGCTCAGATCTGTTTAAACCATGCAGCCGGTACATCCACCGGTAAGGCCGCCCAAGCGGATATCAAAACGGCCCCGAAATGTTGAGAGCCCTTGCATGGTCTTGCGGCAAGCTGGTGAGATCCGCATGTGCGCACTTTGGCCCGGGGATAGTTCCCTGTATGCAGGTCAGATAACCTTGGCGCTTTCTCAAATGGATCCCTTGCAAACGCTGTTTGAAGGGAAGCCAAAGGAAATGGTTGCCATCCATAGTTGTTCCTGGGCCCTCTAAATCAATTTTTACACAGGGTGAGGCCAATCCTTATCAAATGAACCCAACAAGCTTTTTCGGATTCTCCTAAAAGGGTGACGTTCCCGGCAGCTGCTTCTTGATGCCTCAAAAAACAACGTCACCCAATTGAGCCGTGTGCTCCCACGGAAAAAACAAAATGATGGCCGCAATGGTTCTTCTTATCCCTAACTCTGGGCTTTTATGTGGCACGCAAAGCGCCATTCTCTTGGTTGCTGTTGACCCCCGTGCAAAAAGTTTAACTTTTTTGGGGTTTGGTGGAAAACCCCTCGATTTACCAAAAAGTTCCAGTCTAAAGATCCTTGCAGGATCCTTTAAGGGGACCCCTGGCTTGCACCAGCAAGATTGTTCCATTTGTTGATACCAGGGGGTTCTCAATAGGTCGACGTCATCCACTGGAGACATGCTACCAGCTCGCCTTCTCGGAAAGTGAGGTCACCATCTGGGGGTTGGAGTACGTAAAGAACACCTGGGCGATTCAAGTGCCAAGGATCTTTCGGTGGGGTCCAAGTACTATGGTCTTCCCCCTTAAGGGGAGTGAAATCCAGGAACTCGAGTGAGAAAGGGAATCTAAGGGAAACCCCATTTTGGGCTTGATTCAATCATTTTGCTTTGTTCGAGTCACTCCCCTCACGTCCAAGGCTGGCGCCAGGGTGTAGCGTCGGCCACAGAAGGGAGTCACCTGAGGGAACTGCCATGGCTTGCCAGGCCCAAATCAGGCTCCAAGTCTCGGCGATGGGAATGTATGCCTTTGCGACTTGGACACTACTTGGGATTTTGGACATGGGTGAAAAAGCAAGCAAGTTGGGACGCGGGCGCTGGCGGGTGTGTCAATTTTGTCGGAACCCCTAAATTGGGTGGTTTGCTCTTGGTTTCCCTTTTCATGAACCCCAACATACGGGTACCTGGACGCCAACAGGGTTCGGGGTGGAACCCCCGCGGTCAAACCAACCTCATCGGCCACCAATGTCTATGGTGGGTCCTATACAACAGATTTCTGTACTCTTGGTTGATCCACCTTAACCCCCAAGCAATCAAAGGTCACCCTTTTGGGCAGTTTTTGGTTTGAATCTGTTGCAACAAACAAACAAACAAACAAACAAACAAAGCAAAAGCTGGCATTCATCATCCGGGGTCCACAGCTGTGTTCTTGCCTTTTCCGGCTTTCCAGAATGCACTTCCTTTACCGGCCGGTTGATCGAAGTTGATCGGGTTGCTCCGAGACACCTCACATCACAAACGGAGCTCCACCCCAATATGATGTTGATTTCTCCGGGGTCAACCTCCAATGGCACCAAGTCTGGCAATGAACCTCTGGGTTCTTCGACTGAGTCTACCCTTCTCGGGTTGGCTTCCCGACTCACCAAAGGGAAACCACTGAAACTTTGCGGGGGGTCCCTCATACAAAGACACATCTATATATCATCCTGCACTATCATTTGCTTAAGCCCCCTGGAAAAAACGAGAAAATATGTCCAGTAGTCGTAGATTCCCTTTAAAACCAACAGGGGAAAATGAAACATATTCATTTCAGCAAATGGATGCACCCAAATGCGCAACTCGTTTTCCCGGCCAGAGGGCGCAGTGAGGCTTCGTGCCGTCAAACTTGAACCACCTCCTCCTGACGAGACCGAAACGAGCAACGCGTAACGGTGCAGCTGTCCGGGGGGTTAAACTGCCGGTAAACAAACATTTGTTTAAGGCCCCAGGAACAATAAATAAATATATATATTTCCAGTAGTGATGAATTCCATTGAAACCCAACAAGGGAAAATAAACAACTATTCGTTTCAGCAAATGGAGGCAAATTGTCCGTGGTTTAAAGCTCATTTCCTGAGTGTCCACCCTAGAATCTAAACTTTTTACGTGCCACTAAAATATTCTTCCCAAAAAGTGATTGAGGTCCAGTTCCATTCTTTCCACTGTCCCCACTCAAATGTGGCCACGCTTGTCATGACCTCAGTCTCCATCTCGCAATCGAACTCGGATTTCTCCCCGGCAGCTGATTCAATGTCGATCGTCCCAGATAGGCTCATTCCGGGTAATTCGCGAGCAGATTTTGAGGCTTAAGGCGCCAGAGGGTGGGGCTGGGCTTTCGGCGAAGGAGGTCCGAAAGGTCTAGCGCCCGGTCGATCGAAAGCCCGACGGCTTCGCCCTCTGTTTTTTGTTGGCGGCTCTGGCCCCAACATATGTTTGCTTTTTTTCCACCAAACCTTTTATGGGACAACTTTTTTTGGGGGGCACCATTACCTTTAAGGATCCGTTTTTGGTTGGAAAGGGGGGTCATTCGCATATTCCCTGCTGGGGGTGGAGAGGGCAACCACTGGGTGTTTATGGGAAAGATTCGCAACGTTGGGGGTGCTGGCTCTCTTGGTTTCCTTCTGGGAAGCGTTAATATCGTTTGGGCCATTCAGCACCTAGCGTTGAAAGGAGACATTCTGCCCCAACAAGTATCATGCGTTTCATGGGGAATCTCACCAAAAAACAAAGTTCACCCGAAAATGCCCAGAATGGCCGACCGAAGATATATGTCTCCAACAATATCGGATTGGCCGACACTCCATTTTGAACACCCAAAGCCCAAAAAGAGGGGAATCCTTACATGGGTGGGTTTTCCTTGATTCCCTTTCTCACATATTTGCAGTAGTGATAGATTCCCTTTACAGCCAACAAGCGAAAATAAGACATATCCTCAAGCAAATGAGCAGTGGTCATTCCCTCATTCTTCGCTGAGAACCAGCAAGCTTTTTGGGTGGCTTTAAAGGGAGACCACAAACAAAAAACAAACAAACCATTAAGGTCAGGTCCTCTTGGATCATCCTAGATCTGATTGGCATTGGGAGCATGCCAACAAAAGCTTCCAGGCTCGGATGTAACATGTCATCCGAAACTGTGGACGTGCAAACATAGCAGCATGACCAGGCACGTCTCCAAAAAACAAATGGGCTTGCGCCCAACATGGTTGGCTTAGACTTCTCCCTATCCTAAAGAAACAAGCTTGTCAAATCTGGTCAATGGAAACAAAACTAAACGGCAATCCAAAAAGGGCATGTGCCGCAACGGTTCCTGAAGGCACACATAAAAATAACTATTCAGATTGGGCAATCACTTTGACAGGAAATGGTTGCACATCAGGGTCGTGCCATAGAGCCTATCTGCTGGGCGTGCTTGGGTGAAGGATGCTGAAGGCAGTCATCCCATCTGCCGACCGTCAGGGGGAGATACGCCGGATGACATTTGTCATTTGCCCTCTTACCCGAAGGGAAACATCTAGCATTCCCTTTCAGGACGGGTACACACTTCTAGGTCCTCCAGTGGAGAGGTTAGAATAAGGGTACCCTTTTTTCTGTACTCTATTTGAGTGAGCAAAAAAGGGTAAAAGGGCACCCTCCCCCAAAAAAGAAACGGTAAAAGGGCACTACCAAAGGACCTAGACTTCGTACGAAACAGAACTCAGGGTTGCCGTTGAACCGGCAGCAACCAAAAAACCGTTCTCGGTTTGTTTCTGCGCCCCTGCTAAATGTCTAACTTTTAGTGGTTTAATGGGGAAAACCCAATGACGTTGGCAAAAAGATAAAGTCCTAACATCCTTGGGCAACATGCACCAAAGAGCTCTCATGCGCGGCTCCCGCTGGCTCCTGATGTTCTTGGCATGGCCAAGGTTGCTGCCATCGTCAATCCACAGCCAACCTCCCGAGTAGTCGCCTCGCAAAAAAAAGCAGGCGGCTGAGAGGGGCAAAACATGGGCCTTGCCTCACTTCCCAAGTGGCCAAACAAAGTCCAACTGTCTGATTTGCCACTCACATGTGTGGTTCAAATAAACTGTACCAAGGTTGCCCCTTGGTAAATGAAACCAACGACCAAACCTGTGTAACCCTAGCTGTTTGTTCAATTTTGAGCCACACCCACGTCATTCAATGCAGGAACACCTTTGAGTGAGGCTAAGAGGCTCACAACTCCACCATTTGCTTTGCTCATTGGCCCTGTCCGCTCAACTCCTAGGTCCTCCAGTAGAGAGGTCAGACTAATTGTCCCTTCTTTTTTCCTTTTAGTCTATTTTAGTGGGGGAACCGAATCTCCCAACCAAACAAGTTGGTGAGAGGTCGGGCACCTGGCTCACTGGGGCAGCTCCGTGGCTTTTTTCCCCGCGCCTAAGCCCAAAATGAAGGAAGGCCCCAGGTTGTTCTTGTCCACATGCATCGCCGCCTTGTAGTCCTGGGGACCGCTGGAGGTGCCGTGTGGCGCCTGTGAGTCCTTCGGTTCTTAGTCCGGGTGGGCGTGGATGTTTGAGTCAGTGTGTTCATCCGTTTAACTCCTTTATGACACATTGCGGTACCGGCTCTGTTGCGTTCAACTTAATAATTTAGCTGATATTTGTGTATATATATATATATGTATATGTATAATTTTATGTGTGTATAATTTTATATAGTATGCTTGTTTGTAGTCGTCCATTGATATCAACTGATATCAACTCTCATCTTTGTATCTTGTTAAATAAAGCCCTAATGCAACCGCTCCCCACTCGCAATGGCAATGCCGACGTCATCCGATTTCGCACTGGAGGCTCTGACGTGTTGCTCGCTGAAGAAATGAAAATGTCCACCTAACTTCACAAACCATTCATGAGGAAAACCGGACTATTGATGGAGCTACAGAAACACGTGGGTGTGCCCAATTCTAGGAGACCCCCCCCAAAAAAAATGTTGTTTTCCTGATGATTCCCCTTGGCAAACAAATAATAAAAGGGTACCCTCAAAAAAGGGACATATCCATCTATACTAGAAAAAACAACCTTTGAAAGATGATCAACTTGCCGCCAAAACTGCATAGTCAAAATGCCCTGGACGGGTTCCCTCCTACCGTTGCATTTCACCGCGCTTCCCACAAACAAGACGCCCATGAAAGAGTCCCCATGGGGAACACGCCTGGTGACTTGGCTTAGGGTTGTGATAAAGATTACGGGAATCATAACCATGACGTACATAACTGGGGTCTCCTCCCAAAATGATTCTTCAAATTCGGGTGCACTACATGTGTGTATGTATATATATATATATGTATGTACATACGTATAATATGTGGTTCGGAGTCAGAATTTGCTTTGTATTCCGTGCACCCCAAGTGTGGGCCAAAATAACGAGTCTTGAGCATGTTACATGCTGCACGGTCAATTCGTTGGACGGCGCTTGGGTGTTGGACATGGGAACAAGTAGGGGAGTTGTTTTGTGAACCGAAAGCGGGCCGTTTAGCCATTCGAGCTGAACCTGGCAAAATGGGGAGCATTTCTCAGTTGTTCAGTGACCCTGGAAAAAAAGGGAACCCTTTTTGGGCAAGACCATTTTTAGTGGGGCAGCCACCAAAAAAAAGAGAGGAAAAAGGGTGCCACTGAACAACTGAGAGAAGGAAACCAACAGGGCCCCAACCACTTGCACAAGAACTCAACTGAGCCGGAAAAAAAGAAAAAACAGCACCCGAAGGGATCCTCGCCGCAATTCTGGCAGTAGAACCCCTGTCCTCATAACCCCCAAAAAAGGTAATGTTCCCCTAGCTTCGGGGCCGGCAGAACGGGTCAAAAGGCCTTCACGTCTGTGCGTCAAGGCCCACCTAAAAAATTGGGTGGGGAGTCACACACTGTCAAAGATCTGAACTCAGATGTTTCATACGTGAATCTTAGAGGACCCCCCCAAAAAAAAACGTGTTTTTTACTTTGAACTACCAAAAAACCAAGGGGCGTACCAACGCAAGAAGGAACGAGGACGAGCTCGGTCCTTGTTCACCTGGATCGAGGTGAACTCGAAGCCCGCCAGCTCCTTTCCAGGGAGCCAGTCGCATTCGGAGAAATGCGGATGGGTCCTCAAGCACAAGAGAGAGTGACTCAGTTGGTCAAAGGACCTGGAACTAAAAGGTTAACCTTTTGGGGCCATGACTAAATATGGACCAAAATGGGAAAACCAAAAGGTCAAAAGGTCGGCTTTGAACAACTGAGGTGAGAGACAAGTGGACTAAACCTTCGGGCTGGTGAATCCCAGTTGGATCCGGCACACATACTCGACTTCAACCTTCCTGGGCGTTTGGCATTCATCCCTTCGCCAAAACCTAGATTGTGGCAAGGACGTCTTTAAAATTGCGTACGAACTAAGATTTGCACCGATGTCACGACATGTTCACATCCGTCCTACTGCCAATCAATTGAGTCACAATCACAATCAAGATGCTCGTATCTTCTGTTTCCCAGGCTATGGAAAAGTCAGGGGCTGCTGGATTCCACCTGATTGTAGCAGACAACCGATATAGCTTGTTCACCCTAAAATTATTCGGAAACCCAAGAAGGGCTTTTCAGATTGAGGTTGTTGACATCTTGAATTTCAGGTCCAATGCTTCTGACTGGTCCAAACCCCTAAACATAGAAGTCGCTTAGTATCTCCAAAAGTTGTCAGAATTTGAGTCACAGCAAGACCTTCTCTGAAAAATTATCTACCCAAAACTCAGTTGTTCAGTGACCTGGAAAAAAGGGACCCCTTTTTGGGGAAGACCATGTTTAGTGGGGCAGCCACCAAACAAAAAAAGGAAAAAGTGTGCCACTGAACAACTGAGAAAACTAGGAAATCAATTAACAGGACGGCAGTCCGCACCGAAATTGATACGACTAACCCTTAGTATCCCTTCCCAACCTTCACATCGGGTTTTGTTTGTGGTTCATTCGGGTCAGCGGTCTTGTTTCATGGGATTTCTCTAGTGTAGTGGGTTCCAGTGAGACTGGGAGGGTCATTTCCGGGTGTGGGTTTTGGAGCTGTGCAGGTTATCTACCGCTTCTGCTTGCTATTTGAGAGCGAGGATGTGGCGTGCAGCTTCGACCTAGGATCCTGCCATGCGTGAAGGAAGCACCGTTAGCATTGGGGGCTCACGTGTCCCGTATGGTTGCAGCGGACTGAACAGGCATGTGCAAAAGATTCTCCACACAACCAGGGGATTGCCAAATGTTTCCAATACCCTCTTGGGAAATAGGCCAAGTTAGCCAGTTAGGCTGCTCACATATGACGCGTGGCGACTTATTTTCAAGGTGGCATACACCGCTTATATATGGATATACTGCCATACAAATTAGTGGTATATCTACACATACCTGCAACTCCCACACCGCCCCACACCTGAAAATAAATGCCCTTGACACAAGTTCAGAAGATCATTTTGAGCCCAAGGCGGGCCCAAAATCCCCCAACGCCTGCCGCGCAAAGCGGCACAGCAGCGCTGTGAGGGCAGGCCTGGACGTATCAAATGCTCGGCTACCAAGACCCCAACGACAAGGGGCGAAATACTTAGAACTGAGCTTGGTTGCTGTTGACCCCCCTGCAAAAAGTTTAACTTTTTGGGGTTTAGTGGAAAACACCTTTATTTCCCAAAAGTTAAAGTCTAAAGATCCAACCCAATAGAGTCAAGTGAGCACTGTACTTGTCCCGGAATTGGCCAACTCCAAGTCCAAACCTTTTGCCACTAACAAAAAATGCCAGAAGACTCAGAAAGTGAGTAGGATACTAAAGGGTACCGTAGCAATCAACTCTTTAGAACGGTGCAACTCATTGCAGCTGGAAGATCAAGACTCAAAAATACCGAATGGCTGTGGGTCAAAAATATGTACCCAAAATGGAACCCTGGCAAGTGGAAACATGGACCAAAAACCTGCGGTCCATATCCTGGTGCTTTAGTTTTGACCCATACCCAAATGGTGATTTCAAAATTGAAGAGCCAGGGCAAACCGCAGGTTTTAGTCTTTGGTTCCATGTACCCTTGGGTGCCATTTTGGTCTCCATGTTTTTGAGCCATAGCCATTTCGGTCCCCTGGTGCTTTAGTTTTGACCCATACCCAAATGGTGATTTCAAAATTAAAGAGCCAGGGCAAACCGCAGGTTTTAGTCTTTGATTCCATGTACCCTTGGGTGCCATTTTGGTCTCCATGTTTTTGAGCCATAGCCATTTCGGTCCCCTGGTGCTTTAGTTTTGACCCATACCCAAATGGTGATTTCAAAATTAAAGAGCCAGGGCAAACCGCAGGTTTTAGTCTTTGGTTCCATGTACCCTTGATTGCCATTTTGGTCTCCATGTGTTTGAGCCATAGCCATTTCGGTCCCCTGGTGCTGTAGTTTTGACCCATACCCAAATGGTGATTTCAAAATCAAAGAGCCAGGGCAAACCGCAGGTTTTAGTCTTTGGTTCCATGTACCCTTGGGTGCCATTTTGGTCTCCATGTTTTTGAGCCATAGCCATTTCGGTCACCCGGTGCTTTAGTTTTGACCCATACCCAAATGGTGATTTCAAAATTAAAGAGCCAGGGCAAACCGCAGGTTTTAGTCTTTGGTTCCATGTACCCTTGGGTGCCATTTTGGTCTCCATGTTTTTGAGCCATAGCCATTTCGGTCCCCTGGTGGTTTAGTTTTGACCCATACCCAAATGGTGATTTCAAAATTAAAGAGCCAGGGCAAACCGCAGGTTTTAGTCTTTGGTTCCATGTACCCTTGGGTGCCATTTTGGTCTCCATGTTTTTGAGCCATAGCCATTTCGGTCCCCTGGTGCTTTAGTTTTGACCCATACCCAAATGGTGATTTCAAAATTAAAGAGCCAGGGCAAACCGCAGGTTTTAGTCTCTGGTTCCATGTACCCTTGGGTGCCATTTTGGTCTCCATGTTCTTGAGCCATAGCCATTTCGGTCCCCTGGTGGTTCAATTTTGACCCATGCCCAGATGACTCAAAATTGCACCAAAATCCCCTGGTGTCATTTTGAGCCATGCCCAAACGGTGAGAAATCAAGAACGGCCAAGAGCCACTTTGAGAACCCTTCGACTTCGCTGTGGACCGGCAACCACGGCGCCTCAGCCGCGTCGCCGCCGACACGGTCGCACCCTGATCCGGGCGCCGGGCGCCCGGGCGCCGGGCGCCGGGCCGAAGCGACGCGTGGGAGAGGGAGGCAGGTGGGTTTTTGCACGTTTTGAATCTTGGGACAAAAAACAAAGCGCCTTTCTTACAGGAGAGCCAAACCTAGCTTTTGAACATGCAACCCAGAAACCCACCCTTAACCCAGCGTTTCAGAGGAACGCGCAGCTGGGTTTTACTCTTAACCCAGAAACCCAGGTGGGTTTGACTCCCAGAAACCGTTTTAGAGGAAAGCCCTGCGGAACAACTTTCAGAGATTCCATCTGATTTGCAAGGGTACAGGACGGAAAAAAGAAAGAAAGAAAGGCAACCCAGGTGATCGAATTGGTCCAAATCAACGGGTTCGAACCTTTCTGGCCAATTAACCCAAGGGTTGGTTGCAGGTTGAAGATCAAGGGTAACTTGAAGAAAAGCAACACCCCAGGCTGCCTTGAAAAAGACGTATGGGTGTGTCTGTTTTTGGGGTACCCGTATTGAGGGTGTAATAGAGCTCTGTTTTTTGAGGGCATTTTTGTTGGGGGAGTTTGAAGGGAAACCGGAAACCACACAAAATGGCGGGTCCCCTAAAAATAAGACACCCATATTATTTCTGTTGGCCGACATCCCGTCCGATCCGGACGAACTGCAACTTTCACCTCGCCAATGAGCGACGAAAAACAAGCCCCTTGAAAAGCTTCCCTTTGATTAGTGTTCAGGACGTTTTGGGAGTTTTGGGGTGGTGTCCAATTAATTTAGAACCACACTCCAAACCAGCAAATTTGAGGGGTACCTGAAAAACGGTCTAAGCTCACTCTCTGAGTTAAAGGACTTCTTCTTCACTTTTCAGAAGAAGCGCCACCTGGACGTGGTTGGGCCAATCTCGTTCCTTTGTAGAGTTTTCTAGTTGGTTTCCATGAACCCACTAAAAATCAAACTTTTAGCTGGAGATCTTAGTGGGATCCCAGCTTGATGAGTTTCCAATGCAGCAGGCAAGAACCTTTGGAGCTGGCGACATCTTGTATTTGGGAGGCACACGAATCTTTCGCTGTGCACACCAAGCTGCCCCCATGAGCTGTGCTCAAAGTTCAACTTGTGGAGTTACCAAAATGATGATAATGATTTATGCAGGCTTTACTTTTTCACCCCAACCAAACCAAGCTGAACCACATTTTAACATGGCTACTCGTGGTTTGGGACCATGCCTTGGGGAAAGTCCCACGAGGTTCCATAAGGATGTCCGATTTGAAGACAAATCTGCTGCAATGATGGCACATGTAGAAACTGCTTGGTCATGTTCGCATGGGCGTCATTCGGGTTACCATGCCCAACACACCTACTCTCAGCCGCATGATTGATGAGGATATGGCCTCTTCAGGATGTCTCCAAATTGGGGATCCTTGGATGACAGAATGGGAACCCCGGATGAATAACCCCATCCTGCCCAAAAGAGGGTGTTACGACCAAAGCGAAGGATTCCCACAAAGGGGAGACCCCAGTTTCCAATCCAGGGGTTAACATTAACAGCGAAATCCACGGTCGTCTTCTCCCCAAAAGTCGTCCGACCGTCCTGCAGGCCGTGGAGGGTGTCGGCCAAGCGACTTGCTCAACCCCGCAAATGACAGGATAAACAAAAACAAACGCAAACATCATCATCAACACCCTCAGTGTCGACCGGATTAATAAACGCAGCCTACTAATCGTTAGAGGGTTGTTCCCTCCAAAAGTGGTCTGAATCCAACCAAGGGGACACCCCCCTCAAACAGGGGCGCTGCTTGATCGGTCACCCGGCAGGGTCCCTGCCCTTGACCATCTAATGGACACCTGCTGCAGCCCTCGCCCTAAGATGCGGGCCTCCCCAACATTTTGTAAAGAATCAAAGAGCAGCTTCTGGTTGGAACTGTTCCCTACTAACCTTCAACTGCCCGAGTTTTGATTGCGGCTCTGACAAGCACGCCTTCCTGGCACCCCGCATGGCTTTTTTTTGGTCAAACTCCCGTATTTGGCCGTATTTGCCCGTATGGCCATATTGTTCCGGTCATTGAAACCCATATTTTGTTCGACATGTTGTCGAAGAAAAGCCTTAAACAAATCCTTATGGCCACTTTTTCTTCTTTTTTTTTCCGGTCAAAGGCGTATGACCTAAACAAATGGCCATATAGGGTTCCAGGTTGGTACGATGAGCTTGAACAAGGCTCGGCAGAGCTATACTTGGTGGGCCAAATTTCCGGTTTAGAGCCCCCCAAACAGAAACAAACAAAAACTGCTTAGGTCAGAATCGAGAATCCTGCCCCCACAAGAACTTCTTGATCCCAACATGAGGAATTTCTGAAAAGGGGAATCCACGCCCGAACAGGGATCCTTACATTATTCACCTGAACATTGCAACTTGTAAATGGTGGTTTCCAACTTTATTTTGGTGTTGAAAAAGCCGCATGTATCTCAAATGGGTGGGCAAAATGGATATATGTCTTTTAAGGAGCCCTGCCGAACTTTCCGGGTGGCTCCCTACGTCAACTTTTCCATCGGCACATCCCAGCGCCTTGGTCCAGTGGCTGGTGACGCCCAAGCACATGCCCTGAACCTTCCGAGTGTCTCCTTCCTCCCTGACCTCAGCTCGGGATGGCGCGTCTTTGTTTTGATGGTAGTACCCGTTTTGGGATGGATTTAAAGGGAAAACAACTGGAAAAACCGATTCTTCCCCCCCCCCCCCCCGGCTACGCGGTAGTACCCTTTTGTGTGGTAGATTTAAAGGGAAACCAAAAGAACAAGTATGATGTTGTTCCCCCCCCGTGTTGGCACGCACCCATTCGTTGCAACCAAAAAGAGCCAAAGCGCGCTTCAAAAAGGAGAGCCCGGGGCTTGGTGCCCTTTGCTTGGGTCAACGTGCCCAAAAACGAGTTGAATCTGCGGGTTTGTGTAAAGAGCCCATTGCACCTGGATGACACGCACAATCATGAGTGCATTTTTGGTTTGAAACCATACAGAGAAGAGTACATGACATTGAAGCCGCTTTAAGATCAAGGCATTGCGGAAAAAGAAGCAGTGCCGACCGGACAGGTCATTCGCAGGTTATGAGCCCAACGCTCTGACCCAACCCGAGTTGCCATGGCCGAGGACCTCAACAAGGCCCAGGACCCCAGAAGGACTCCAGGGCTGGTGACTTCACGGCGGCGGGTTTGGACAGGTGGAGGAACGCCCCCGAGCGAAGAACGAGATCAGAGAGCCATTGAGGACGCCAAAGCCGAGGCGTCCGCGATGTGGCCTGGAGGGCCTGACAGCGAACCTCTGGTGATGGTGCCAGCGGCGCCGGGGCTCTTCACAGATGAACAGATGAAGAAGTTGAAGGATTGGGAGGAGGAGGCTCCCATGGTGAGCCGCCCGGCAACACACAGCGGCGGTGGCTTTGAGGACTTCTTGGAGAAGTGCCAGAACGACCAGGGTGGTGAAGCCCGTCAGGACCGGGAAGCTCATGCAGGTGCTGGGAGTGCTGGAGGAGCAGGTCAGCGAGTGCATGGGCATGATTCTGGAAATCCTGGATGGGGGGTTCGGGGTGCTGAACTCCAGCTACGGCGAGACGCCGAAGGTCATCAAGGTGGGCAGCAAATGATGCGCCAAGGCATCGGTGAGCTGCAAGGGAACGTGCCAGTGATGCTGGCCCAAGAGATGGTCCAGATCAAGGACATGATGGGCCAGATGATGAAGTACAATCAAACCATGCAGATCGAGCTAAACGTCTGCAGGCAGAAGATCCATGATCTCCAATCTGGAGGTTCAGCAGGGCAAAGCGACCGGTTTGCGACCCCGGATGGGAAGCCAGCAGCCCCGGAAGCAGAAGAGGCCTCGAAAGCGGAATCCTCGGAGGAGCTCAAACGAGATGAACCAGCTGCCGGAGAACCGATGGAGGTGATACTCAAGATCCTTCACGGCATGCAGCAGATGCAGAACAAGCTGATTGAGCAGAAAAGCTCAGGAGGCAGCGACGGGCTGGAGGTGGTGCGCGGAAGTGGGGTGGAAATGCCGAAGCTCCCGGAGTACAAGCCTGATACGGCGGCCATCGACATTGGCGATTGGCTTTGCCTACTGGAGCCGGTGGTGGGAGACCTCAGCGACACGGCCTATCAATGGTGGACGAAGTTGATGGAAGCGGCGAGGCTGTGGTATCAGAGATACACCGCAGCGGTGCCGCTGAAGCGATTGGAGATGAGCCCGGTGGCACCTTTGGACCTTTGTGAAGGAAAATGGAGAAGATTGGAGCGGCGGGTGGTGAGCCTGCTGCTGGGTGCGATTCCGGAAGCTTGCAAGGAGGAAATGGTGGCGGTCAAGGCCATGACCTCGTACGAGATCATTTGCCGTCTCATGGCTTTGTATCAGCCAGGGAGCCTGGCGGAGAAATCGGTGATTCTTCGCAACTTGGAATCGCCCCCCGAGGCCAGCGACATCGCGGAGGCGGTGAAAGGTCTTCGGCGGTGGATTAGATGGCGGCGGAGGGCGGAGGAGAATGGCGTCACCATTCCGGACGCATCGGTCTTGGCAAGGGCGGTGGTGAAGCTGATTCGCAAAGTGACGGATCACGACAAGGACCTCGGGTTCAAGGTGGCGCTCACTCGCAATACGCTGCAGCTGGATTCGGTGCCCAGCCACGACACGGTGATGAAGTTCACGGAGCACATCTTGTCGGAGATGGAATCATCAGCCCACATGGACTCCAAGCACAAGGTTCAGCCTAAGGCACCGGTGGCGGAGCAGCTCAAGGCCAAGAAGCTGGAAGGTGCGGAGGAAGTCAAGGGAGAGCAGAAGGGCATGGAGGAGGCCAAGCCTTGCAAGTTCTTCTTGACGGACAAGGGCTGCCGGAGGGGGAAGAGTTGCAAGTGGAGCCACAACCAAAAGGATGAGAAGATGCGGTGTTGGGCGTGCGGAGCGTCGGAGCACCTACGCAAAGATTGCCCACAGGCCGGAATCCCGAGTGGCGACAGAAAGCCGAAAGTGGCGAAGGCCGAGGCGGAGATTCACAGGGTCGACCAGGTGACGATCACGGAGCCCGGGAAGGTGGATACTACGCCAAGGACACCGTCATCCTCAGCCTCGACAAACGGGACGCCAGACCTGAGAAGCAGAACGCCTGAGGCGGAGCCGAATGCGATGCAGGAAGCATTGTCAGAGGCTACGAAGATGCTCAAGAGCATCAATGTGCAGAATCCTGGCGATGCCAGGAAGGTGGAGAATGAGCTCACCCTGAAGGACCTACAGAAGCAGTTGGATGGCATGCGAGAAAGGATGAGGCTGAATCAGATCACCCTCAAGCTGTCCAAGGTCGAGACGGGTGGTGGAAGAGGACTGGTGGACTCAGGGGCGACGAATCCATTGAGGCCGCTGGAGGAGGGTGAAGACATTTCGGGGTATGAGAGAAGGGAAGTGGAGCTGGCGGCGGGAGAAACCTTTCCGCTGAGTGTCACCCCGGCAGGAACGTTGGTGGCTCCCCGAGGAACACAGCCGATTGTGCCGATGGGAGCGCTGGTCAAGGTCTTGGGATGTCGGATGAGCTGGGCGGGAGGTCATTGCAAGATTCGACATCCTGTACGAGGAGATCTTCCGGTGGCAATGAGCCAAGGGTGCCCCGAGCTGCCCATCAGAACGGCCTTGGAACTCATTGAAGAGCTGGAGGAGGCGCACAGAATCAAGGTGCGGAAGCTGAACACCAGCGACGAGCTGGAGTATGTGAGAAAGGTGATAGAGGAACACCCTGTGTTCCGGGACCTCCCATGGCATGTGAAAAAGGAGCTGTTGGTCATGCCGGCCGACGATTGGAAGCCATTGGGATTGAATAGGTCCAGAAGGAGGAGGTTGGAGCGAATGGGCGGAGCGGTGGTCCACCTTTTCGCAGGGCCTCAAGAAGGTTATGATCTCTCGCGGGCCTACAAAGAGCAAGGTGGAGATCCGCGGGACATCCTGGAATATGACATTGTCAGGGGGGCGGAGCACGACCTCTTGGCGAATGAGCTGATGAGCGGCTTGATGAGACTGGCGCTGGATGGGAGGTTGAAGGCGCTGGTGGGTGGACCTAATTGTCGCACCAGGTCGGTGCTGAGGTTCTATCCCCTGAAGAACCGGGACAAGCCGCGTCCGGTGAGGACACTGGAGAAGAAATGGGGCTTGGATGACCTCGACCCCCAGGAGGAGAAGATCGTGGTGGAAGACGACATCCTTCTCTTTCGCTTCATCCTGCTCTATGTTCTGGCCGACATGAAGGCCAAGGCGGAGGTGAAGGTGGAGCGCGAGGGCAACGTCGGGTTCTTGTTGGAGCAGCCGGCCGAGCCGCGGGATGAATCGAGATGCCCCTCATTCTGGAGAACGGATGAGTGGAGGAATTTGAAGAAGATTCACCACTTGCGGGAGATTACCTTCAAGCAAGGGGATTGGGGCGGCAAAGCCCCCAAGCCAACGACGGTGGGGACAACGATGGATGTTCGCCTACCTCAGACCGGAGGAGGTCACATCATGGAGAAGGACTATGGCAAGCCCAGGTGGATGATGACGGACGTGGAGAAGCTCCAGACATCCAAGGAGCTGTCGAGATGGGCTCCGGGAATGATGCGGGAAATCGCTCGTTGCCTGAGATGGGAGCTGGGCGAGACTGTGCCGAAGGTCAAGAAGCTTTCCTGGGAAGAGCACATCAAGCTGGGGCACTTGCCGTATCGGCGGGATTGTGCGGTGTGTCAACGAGCATCTGCACGGGACCGCCCACACAGACGCATCAAGCACCCGGATGGGAACGTCCTCTCGGTGGATTTGTCGGGGCCCTTTCGGTATGGCAGGGACATCGACGACGTGGAGGACAAGCGCTATCTGCTGCTGGCGGCCTACACATGGCCCCAGGTGCACGTGGAGTATGAGGAGCATCATCCGGGAGAACCTGAAGGTGATGAGCCAGAACATCTTCCCGAACCGGAGGGGGATCAAGATCCGGAGGAGGAAGAGGAGGAATCCTTGGAGGTGGAGGGCAGAGACCCGGAGGCAGAGGAACCGGTGATACCGGAGGAGCGTCAGGAGCCGGGCCCGCTGAAAACGCTGTACTTCACGGTGCCGCTGAAGTCCAAGAGCAAGAAGGAGGTGCTGGGAGCCATTCAGGAGGTCTACATCAGACTCCGGCGAGAAGGGCTCATGGTCAACCGCCTGCACTCAGATAAGGGCGGTGAGTTCATCTCAGGGGACCTGGCGCGGTGGTGCAGGCTGCGGGATATTCGCAAGACAACCCGCTCACCAGATCAAGATCAGGAAAACGGTCGAGCAGAAGCGGCGGTGGGGGTGGTGAAGTCGATGATCAGACGGGTCCTCATCTCCACGGGCTGGGACTCGAAGTGGTGGCCTTGCGTTGCACGCTACGTGGCGGAGACGAGGCTGGCCTACGACATGAAAGGCACGATGCCCAAGCACAAGTTTGGGGAGGAGGTCCTGGTGCCGAAGAGAGCCTGGAAGCAGAAAGTTTTCGAGGCTACCCACCAGAAGGCATGGTACCTGGCTCCGATCCATGACATGTCGAATGGGCATGCAGTGCACTTGCAGGAGCTGAAGAAGGTCCTCTGCGTATCCAAGGTGGTTGGTGGCCTCCGT